AAAAGGGCGCTGTACCTTTTCAGATAGTTAAGTGATTTCCAGTAAGTTTCATGGCACCTCTACTGATTTCTATTTGCTTCCCGTGGAAATTGCAAATTTGCCCCAAATTTCCAAAATTGTCTGTTTGGCTCTTTAACTTTTAATTTTTAAAAAATTATAAAATGGGAATGCCTACCCCACATATTGTTATGCATGAATGAGATAAATAATCACATAAAATGGGAGAGCTCTGGAAATTGTGAAGTAATGTACAAGTTGCCACTGTTACGCTGATTTCCTTCCTTAACGCTGTTCATCTGTTTAGATTTATCACATCAAAAAGAAAGCGCGGGGCTGGGGATGTGGCTCAAGCGGTAGCGTGCTCGCCTGGCATGCGTGCGGGCCCGGGTTCGATCCTCAGCACCACATACAAACAAAGATGTTGTGTCCGCCGAAAAACTAAAAAAAAAAATAAATATTAAAAAAAAAAAAAGAAAGAAAGCGCGATGGTGAAATGTGATGGACGTTATTATCCAAAGTACATGTATGAAGACATGAATTGGTGTGAACATACTTTATATACAAACAGAGATATGAAAAATTGTGTTTTATATGTGATGCCTTTCACTGTCATGTATTAAAAAAAATAAAAGCAATTAAAAAAAGAAAAAAAAAAGGAAAGCGCTTAGCCACACAGTACTTGATAACAGTCAAGAGACCAATTCCCACTGGCTGGCTGTTGACTGTCATACCTTCGCACTCTCAGTGCCTTGCATAGAGCTTAGAACACCTCTCAATGATTATGAAAAATAAACAAAAGCCTTCCAATTCAAGCAGAAAATACACAGGTCTATTAATTATCAGCAGACCTGTGGTACACACAGTTGAACATGGCACTAAGCCTCAATTCTCATCTTTAAAATGTAGCTTCTGGCTTGTTTTCATCACAGAATTTTAAGACAAAATACAATGGACACAGAACTTCTTTTTAAAGAGGACTGCACTGCACACACTATTTTCTTCCTATCCCACTCAGAATTAGGCTAGGTATTCCTAGGGCATCTTCTCTAAAATGCCCCAGGAATTGATTACTTTTGAAGCTCCTTAAAGAAAAAATAGCATTGTCATCTTTGAATCCCTTATGTACTTAGCAACAAAATGCAGTCTATCAGAGGAACTCAGTAAAAATTTTTTCAAACAAATGTTAGACCAAAAACTGACAATCTAATCCACTGGCTATCCCCACTGCGCAACTGCAAAACTTATCTTGATTTCAACTATTTCCTTTTTTTTTTTTTTTTTGGTATATTTGTTGTTTTACTGTTTATTTGACACATCTGAACCAAAGCATTCACAATACTTGATATACGTTGTAGAGAATCATATACTATAGTCTTAGACATAACCACAGAACAAGCAGAACAATTAAAACTACATAAGGCCTTAAAAGATATCCACAGTGTGTATTATTTCAATATTCATTCATTTACAAATTAGACTACATACCGTTAATTTTATTTTTATTTCATTGTTTTATTCAGGCAGGATTCATTCAAGGAAAGGCAACTTAGTTTTTGTGTGTGAGCTTTATTTTTTACTATACTGGTTAATATAAAACTTATGAATTAAATGTTTTATTACCTCCTGCATACAGGAGTAAATCCATGAAATTCTTAGATAGTAACCCAAATGAGTGGGTCCTATTCTTAAAAATAGCCAAAGTGAAAAAAGTCCAAATAGCCAGTCTGTTTGTGGTATTGAAGAACAACTAATGGACTTTCAGGTTTTCATACAATGAAGAGTAGTACTACAATTCTACAAGATTAGTCAAAATTTGAAAACAACGTTGCATTACAAATCAGTCTTGAAACCCTAAATGCCTTTTTCAACTATTTCCTTTTATCCCCATTATTACCATCTTTATTGTAGAAGCCACCACCACATTGTTGCTTGCCTGAATATCTGCTATACTTTTCAAACTGGTTTTCCAGCTTTTTTGTTTGTCCTTCCAACAGGATCAAATCAAAGTAACTGTATAATACAACTAAACAACCTGCAGACCATAAATTAGATCCTGTCACTTCTGCTTAAAATTCTGCAGTACTCAGAAGGCAGATTCTTTAAATTAAACCTATAAGGCCCCACACTAAGGACCCAGCAAACTACTGCCTATCGGTCCAATTCAACTTGTCACCTACCTGTTTCTGTAAATGCAGCTTTACTGGAACACAGCCACATACTGTCTACAGATGCTCTGTACTGCAATAAAAGAGTTGAGTAGTTATAACAGAGATCACATGGCTTGCCCAGACTAAATACTATCTGGCCCCTTACAAAGTTTGCCGGCCCCTGTTCTGTATCTCAGATGGAAAACTAAGCCTTTTCTACCTGGGAGTCTTTGCACATCCTGATTGAACAGCCCAGGATGACCTTCACACATTGTTCCATGACTGCTTTCTTTATCACTCAGGTCTCAGCTTCAGTGTCAACTCCTCAGTGTGATTCCTGTCCAACCAGTCTGGAATGGCCCTTTCAACTACCCTAGTCACTTACCTATTATGGGAGGAGGGGGGAAAAAAAGGTCATTTTTTTCCCTAAGATTCCCAGGGCCTTGTGCATGCTAGGCAAGTGTTCTACCACTGACTGAGCCTGGTACTTAAAAAATATATAGGTGAGAAGTCTACCCCTGAGCCACAACCCTAGCCTATGGAGTAGGGATCTTAACTAAAATGTACATTTAAAATTAGCCAGTTGGATTTAGTTTAGATGATTCCAGTTTTGTTGGCAATATTTCAAATATCCTAACCAGGAGCCAGCTGAACATATTTGTTTTCCCATCAGGCCTAATCTGGGTATTGATCTTGGTTGGTAATATCAATGTCATAAAACTTTTTCATAGGCTGATTAATCTCGTGCTGTTGGCCTTGATACTCAAAACACACACAAGCATGTTATCATCTTCCATCTTCTTCATGGCAGACTCAGTGGTTAGAGGAACTTAATAACAGCATAGTGGTTGAGCTTGCCTGGGGTATCTGGGCTGCCTCTGGAGCCAGAGTGTCACAGATAATGTATGCCTTTCCTCACTACCTTCTTGGTCTTCAAAGCGTCTGCTTTGGATTTGGCTTTGGCAAGGGCAGGAGGAGCTTCCTTCTTCACTTTTGGTGCCATCTTGGTAAAAAGGGTCCAATACCATGGTACAGACTATTAATTACATACTAGTTTCATTCTCTCTCATTAGAATATAAGCTTTAGGAGAGATCTTAAATTGCTCACCCAACCATCATTTTAATCAGCATAATAAGCTTAGCACCAAAATAATGCCCAGCATTGTTTTTGAATGAGAATGAAAAAATATCTGCTAAACATATGAGGTCAAGGTCAGGGAAACTATGCCAGTTCAAAGGAGATTTCAAAGGTCAGTTCCAACATAGCAGACTTACTTTAACACTGGCCTGACCTCATCATAAAAGGCCAGAGATTAATCATTATTCCTGGCTCTATTATGGGGAAAACAACCCTACCGAGAGCATATTCTCCTGAATGTGGGTCCAACTTGCCCTTATTAGGTAAGGACAACACTGGGAAAACCAGGCAAGGTCAGATGACAAGACTAACAAAAAAAAGTTCTCAACTTTATTATGGTTAAGAATTTTATTATCAAAATTATTACATCTCTTGTGAAAGTTCAAATGTTACAGCAAGGTGTAAACACTCCACTTGAGAAAGAAGTGAAACTTCTTCCCTTCCAAGAGTTCCCCCCACCCCCCGCCCCCACCCCCCCTAGAGGTCTGGTCTTGACAGCACCCTGCCCACACAGAGTGGCTGGGGTCTCTGCACGTGCCAGGCAGGGTGAGGGCCGCCTGCCCGCTGGCCTCTCCCCTTGGTTAATAGCCAAGGGGAGAATGCAAACCCCAGCCCAAATGGAGAGACATTTACATACGTTTTATATAATATACAAAGAAACCGGCATCCCAGGCAACATGATTTCCACTCCCAACTCTCTCCCAGACTGATGGGTTTGTGGGGGAAACAACAAAAAGAAAAGTACTCTGCTTAAGTTTCAGCATTGGAAAAAAAAAAAAAATCTCCCCTCATTTGAGCAAACACCTGATTTCAAATTTTGAAAAGTGAAATTTTGTAACAGTCACACACAAAGAGAGAAGACTGTGCATATGATAGTTGTAGGACAGGATAGAAAAGAAAGGGATGCAAGAGGCTGGTTAAAAAAGGAGAAAACAAATTAGAGGGAAGGAGGGAGACTCACAGTATTATCTTGTCCAAAAGAAAAGAAGTAAGGTCCACTGCAGCACCAGGGATCACACCTGTCATATACTCACTACCCCTACCATGGTTATAACTGAATACAAAATTAGATAAATAAAAACACGCCGGATATTACAGTAAACAAGTGAAAGAAATAAGCTGGCAACCGTATGGAATTTTAAAAGATTGTGTACCCCACCTGGGCTGGCTCCAGGGCTCCTCCAGGGGTGTACAACAGGCACAATGCACTGATGGGGAGAAGCCAGTCTGCTCTCGTCTCATCCAGAACAGTGTTAGGGGTGTGGGTGGCTTGCTAACTCCCTCACCGGCCCACTCTCACATAAGCATCCCCCAAAGAAACGTGGGGCAGGCCCACACACAATCACAGTCCTGTCGGTGCCACTCCACAAACCTATCTTCCCATTCTTACCCTGCAAGTCACAAGTGCATGCTCCCCAATCATGGAGGCGGTCCTGCTCATGGGATCGTCAACTCCTGATTAGTTGGGAGTAGAAAAAAATAAAATTCAAAGAAATCCCAGACCACTTGGGATCCTTCCTAATCAAATCTATTGCCAAAAGCTGTTAAGTAGCAATGCAATTGGCCCATCTCACTTCTCATTCCACTTCTGTCTACTTACTCCATGGGTTACTAAGCTGTGTAACAGCTTGGGAAGGAGGAATAGAAGATTGTCGGCTCCCAAATAATCAAGAGCTGATCACAAGCTCATCTTCAGAGAGCCAAGCATCCCTCAGTTGGAGCAAGATCCAAGCTTTATTATCCCTGCCTATTTCCTGGTGATTTAAGACAAAGGTAGGGAGTACACCTTGGCCAGATATCTGCTTTTGGAATGGTTGTCTTAGGGATAACATTTACATACCTACCTTTATTCTTAAGTGCATAAAACCCTAACACTATTCAGATGGCTTGGGGCTTTGAGATTGGCTCTTTTCACTTTTTTTCCTTTGAAACAAAAACTTTTTTTTTTTTTTTTTTTTTTTTTTTATTATTTAAAAAGATGTCCTCACTGCACAAGTGACTACAGGCTACAGGCAAGGATGGGAGACAGAGGCTTCAACACAACTCATTGCACTTAGAACCGTTACTAACCAAAACACCATTTGCTTGTCAACAATGTACCCTTAACAGCAGGGAGAAACTTCTTTATAGTCTCTGCTTCAGACAAGATTTACATCTTTCTCCAAGGCCAGAGGCCAGTTGGGACCACAAGTCTTGTTTCTTGTCGACCAGACCCAATCCTCTGGCATCTTGTAACCCCCTCCCCTCCAGCAATATGCTCGGCCCAGGATCCAGAGGCAGCTGGAAGGAAGCAGCTATGGGCTTGTTCAGTTCTGTTTGCCCATGTCCAGAAGCCCTAGGAAAGTCCTGTCTGAGTCTTGACTCCTGACCCTTGCAGTGGCTGGAGTCGGTACTGGTGCACACTCCCACTCCCACGGTGTGGGTAGTGCTGTGAATTGGAAACCGCAGATACCCTGGAGGCCTGGTAGGCAGCGGACTGCCCAGCACTGGGCAGACTGATAGTCCGTAAGTCTGATGGCAATGACGACCTAGAGTTCTGAGGAAAGGAGGTGGAACTCAGAGTTCCTGTGCTGGACTGAGAAACCGAGTCTGAGGTTGGTGAGTCTGAGGGGCCCTGTGGGGTAGGGCTAGCAGCACTAGAAGGACAGCTCCTCCTGGGAAGATTGCTGCTAGTGCTGTTTCCAGAATGTGGCTGGCTGCTATAATACCCTGGTGTCCCTGTAAATGGGGCCAACGAGTCTGTGGACACAGGGTGGGCGGGGCTGGGATAGGACGCAGAAGAGAGGGATGATTCAGAAGAACCGTGAGAAGGGGGGTTTCCAGGTCTCAGTGCAGTAGTTCGATAACTGTATCCTGGAGATTGGGTGGGATGTCCTCTAAAGGGAGAGGAACTCTGTTGAAGGAGACTTTGTGATTCTGTCCGTGGACTATCACACTGCAGGAGCTAGAAAGAGTTTGGAGGAAAGCATAAGGAAGTGAACAAGTCTCTTCAATGGCTTGTGATCTTCACATTTATAACTTTTTTTTTTTGGATACTAAAGGCAGCCAACTCATTGTCTCTGATCACCTTATTTACTTTTGTGGTATGATTTATACTTGAGGGAAGGCAAACGACAACTTACTTCCAAGCCTGCTGAGACAATGCCAACACGAGCATCTCCTGTACAGGATGGCTTGGATCACAAAACATTCAGAAATGAGAATATATTCTTCTACCCAGAGATCAGAACTTTCTCAACTTACCTGGTAGCTGTATCTGGAAGGGCTGTAAACAGTTGCTCCTTTAGAGAGCGCTGAGCTCAATGTCTCTGAGCCTTCTCCATCTGCAGGGTCTAGAAGGTATTATAAAATCAACTTGGCTTCTCAGAGCAAGAGAGAAAACAGCCAAATCACCAATGCCATCACCAACCCATGCTGCTCTCTATGACAAACTGAGTGAGTGCAGCATGCCAGAAGGGCAAAAGGAGTGGTTAATTATGGGCTATGTTTTAAATGCCTGATCTGATTCCCGTCTCCTTCCTTCTCTTCATCCTTCATCGAGGTGGAGCTCCAGGAATTTGGAGAGATGAGAGTTACAGAAAGGTATCCCTTGGGAAAAAAGAGCAGACAGAGAGCAAGCAATGCTAGACCTTACAAAATGATGTAGGCCCAAAGAGCAAGACTGAGCTGGAGCCTAGCAAATAGCAGAACCCAAGTGTGCCAGAAACTGACTCACCTCACCCTAGCATTTGGCATAAACCGTGAAGAGCCTGGCTTATGTGTCCCTCAACCTGACTGACAGAAGGCGGTCATAGACTCACCTGAATCTTTCTCAGTGATGTTACTCTCCCACGTGGGAGAGGGTTCTCCCTTTTGGGCCACCCTCACACTGCTTCGGAGGACCTTAGGGATGCTCCCTCCTTCTCGAAGTCTTTCTACTGACGTGGGAACCATCCTGCAAAGGTGAGAGGGACAAGTTTAAGCCAGAAGACTTATGAGTCAAAGAGTCTAAAACAAATGAAGCTCTCACATAGGCTGTACAATATATTCTCTCAAAAGAAAAATCACTTTTAAGGATGAAAAAATAAATGGAAAAAATGAGTTAAAGATATCAACTTTTTAAGTCCCCATTTTGAAATGCTAAATTTTCTCCTCTATGAAATTATGTACCTGACTGCGAAGTAGCAGTTTAATAAAGGGTTTCTTAATGAACATAATCATTTGAGCCATGTTTCTTCTTTCTCAGACTCAGTTTAAGATGTCTGTGTTTCATTCTCTATTTTACTCTTGGATACTCAGATCTAGGATCTCACTAAGTTGTCCAGGCTAGCCTTGAACTCCAGATTTGTTAAGTGTTTGTCACCACACCCAGCTTATTTCCTTTTCTAGTGGTCTCCCCTAAACCAGATAAGTTCTTTTAGAATGTTTTGTTATTCTGAATATGCTAGTTGCATGGAACAGAAATATCTGTTGCTAATTCAAATGGAACTTGGCTGGACTCCTGACTTACCTTTTACGTGAACTGAGAAAATAGGAGAGGCAGTGTTAATGCCCACTAAACAAAATAGTTTATGGGCATCCATAGCTGTATGTTGTCTAAGAGTGCTACTCTATAGATTTGCTGGTAATTCTTTGCTTTTGTATGGCTAGAAATGTAGCTAATACTATTAAATCAGCTGAGGAGGACAGATAGCACTCTTAGACAGCTGTGCTATTAGAGAAAGTGCTCCCAAATATCAAACATCAAATTGGGAATGATCCTAGAGGTATACTTCCCTCCTGAATTTAACTATAAAGCATCAAATATAAACTTACCACCTACTACTGATATTTTCTTGAGGTCTGCAGTGAGATGAAGTGCCTCTGGAATCCGATGGGCTTACTGCCTCCAAATGGGACATTGAGGAATGAGATGGGGAGAATTTTTTATGAGGGGATGACGGGGTTCGGGCTGAGGATCCCTGCACACCATGGGCACCAGTGTCAGAAACAGAGTTACTGTTGCTCTGCCCAGCTCCTGCAGACTTGCTTTTGCTCTGTGCAGAGTCTCCTCCCCCACCCGCAGAATTCTCCTTGGCTTCTTGTTTCCGTTTACGGTACTCCAGCAGGGATACCTAGAAAGAAAAAAAAAAAGAAACAGTACATTAGCTGGATATCATTAGTGGAGTACTAGCAACGGGGAAAGAAGATGGAACCCCAACAAACCATTGGTCAAGCTGTGCAAATAAAGCAGGTACCAAACATGACAACTTTTTCTAGGTGTGATAGTTCTGAGCAGTTACAAATTTGAGACAGAAATCAGTAAATGGAAGAGAACAGTCTAGGAGATGCCATTTTTGAATAACAATATTCACCAAGCAGACTGCAACCCTTTTCAGGAAAACCTGTTAGATTACCATTACACTGTTAGATTACCATTACACATCACAGAAGTGTGTTATAGTTATTTGCATCTATGGGAATACTTAGAAAAGGGAAAGCTTGTATAATTACAGAAAGTCTCCCCAGGTGATTTTTTTTGGGGGTGCTAGGAGTTGAATCCAGAACCTCGCACATACCAGATAAACACTCTAGTGAGCTACATTTCCAGTCTTTTATTTTTTATTTTGAGACAGGGTCTTGCTAAGTTGCTGAGGCTGGCCTGGAACTTGTGATCCTCTGGCTTCAATCTACAGGGTTCACTTGGGATTATAGGCCTGTGCCACCACATCAGCTGCTTAGCCCTTTTTAAATACTAGTTTGAGGCAGGGTCTCGCTAAGTTGCCCAGGATAGCCTCAAATTTGGGATTCTCCTGCTTCAGATTCTAAAGTAGGTGGTATTACAGGTATATGCTTTCCAGGACTCCGGCCTTCCAGGAGATTTTGATGGCTATTGTTCACTGACTACAAATCTAAGGAGGTAGGTGTTAAAGAAAAAAGAAAGCCAATGTTCTGAGGTTTTAAATATGCTCTTATTTTTCAAGACATAGAGATTTAGTATTATTTTTCTTATACACAGACACTAAAATCAAAAGAGAAGAAATTACTAGTTTATAATTTAGCCAAGTTACCTCTAGAAAACCTATACCTACCTGGAAACTTCCCCAGTGCCTCCATCACCTGCCTCACTCATTCTTTGTTTCTTAAAAAACAAAACAAAACAAACTATCTATTTATCTATCTATCTATCTCCTTTATTTTATGTATTTATCTTTATGTGGTGCTGAGGATTGAACATTGAACCCAAGGCCTCACACATGCCAGGCAAGCACTGTACCAGTGAGTCACAACCCCAGCCCACTCATTATTTCTTGACTGCCACAATAGACCCTATTTCCTGCCTCCCTGGCACATGCCTCTTTGCTGATGCACCACACCTGCTTATGTCGCATGCTATACAATGTCTTGCTAATTCCTGAATAAACTGTAAGTTGTATGAGGGCAGAGACCAAGTTTATTTGGCTGTTAGAAACAAATCCCCCCCACAAACAACAACAAAAAAACTGAACCAACCAACCAAACAAAAAACCTCCAAACTGCACAAAAACTTGGTATACTTCACTTGCCCAATACATTTTCAGAAATTATTCTGAATAATAATTTCAATCACCTTTGTGCATAATAAATAAATGAAACTAGAAATTCAGGTTATTTTTGTTTCTGGTAGTCAGCACTATTCATGCCAGTCTTTGAAACCCATTACTCTCTTATTCAAAATTACCTGCTTGAATTTCCTACTCCTTCTATCCCCTAAGGGTTCTCATTTTTCTGTCCAACTGTACAAATATTGACAGTAAAGATAATTGTTTACATGCATTTCTATACATAATCTTGGAAAGAAGCCAGTTATAATAAATTCTGGTAATGCATTATCACTGTAATAAAAATACAAGAAGCCACTAAGTTCGCAACAAGCATGTATTTTTGCCACACAGAAAATTCGGCACCATTATCCCTGAACAATAAATGCAAGTCACTGTGTAAACCACAAAGTACTCCCATGCATTTTCAAATGCCCATAGTTGAGAACCACTGATACAAAAAGTACACTTTAGGTTTTGTGATTTCTAGAACAGGTATTATGTATAATAAGCTCTCCTGGCCCTGCTAATCTCTTTGGGCGCTCTTACTTTTTACCTGACACTGTAACCACATTCAACTGTTTGTACCACAATGCACCCCCGCTGCTGACCTAGTGGAGTGTCACAGATTTACTTGCTCTGCTCATTCTACTACAATATCTTCACTCTCATTTGTTGGCTACCTGACTCTTGCTTCCTGTTCGAGATTCAACCAAAGCAATAACTGCAATTTCTCACTCTACCTCTATCCCTTAAACAGGCTAAAGACCTCATGTCTATTTTCAAAGTACTTTCTACCTATCAGACTAGGCCAAGTTCCTCAGCTATCGTGCTCTTACCACATGTGAATAATTCCTTTGGAGCATCCATCTCACTATTAATGTAATTATCTCTAAAGCTCACTCTCACTTTCTATAAGCAATTAGGGGAGAATCTAGGTAATCTAGCAAGGTAGAAATATAAGCATGCAATCTGGAATTAGACAGTGTCCTGATTTTTCCATTGCTATGAGTGACCATGGGCTAGTTTTTCAAGTTGCCTTAGTTTCTTTATCTGCAAAATGGGAAATCACCTATCTCACAGGACATGGTTAGGATAAAATGAATGTAAATTGCTTATCACAGTGTCAAAAACCTGGGAAGTGCTGAATAATTTAAGTTTTTTCCTTTTCACTGTGTTAGCCTTTCAACTGTCTAGCAAACATACGACACATAACAGGTATTTAAATTTGTTGGATATTTATTATTATATTTTGTGCTGGGGCTGGAACCTGGGTCCTCATGCATGTCAGCCAAGTGCTCTATCACCAAACTACGTCACCAGCCCTGAATATTTACAATACTCACCAAAATATACTAAACTGACTTTCACTAGGCATGATAGAGACTAGGTTTTACTTATATGAGAAGCCTGAGCACCTGGAACTTGGTAAATATCCACCGAATTATTCGATTAATGGTCTTGGGGAGTGGGGGGCTCTGTAACATGAAAGACTTACCTTTTTCCTTTGTGGTGGGTTCTGGGGGGCAGATGGGACCCCTTCACAGGTCCTTTCACCACCAGGTGACAGGGATCCACGAGAAAGGTCTTTCATAAAGCCATGTTCATATCTGCTGGGGAACCCTTCCGCTGGGGAACAATATCCCCCATCCAAATGTAAAGGCTTCCTATCCCCTACTAGGGGAGACCCTCTATATAATCCATCTGCTCGAGGCATAGCATTCAAAGGGGAGTAGGCATACATCAAATTGAACTCTGTCCGAAATGCCTGGTCCGAGTTTCTCAGGAGGGTCTGATGTCCATCTCCACTTCTGCTTGGGAAGCCAGTCTCTGAGGTGGGCCCAATGGAGGGATGAGGAGCCAGGTCAGAATGACCTGAGTTGAGCAGGGAAGGTCTGTCAGCACAGTTGTTAGTGTTGGAATCAAGGTATCCTACTTTTGTCAAATCCAGGTCTTTTCGGTGACAGAGCTGAAAGAATAAAAATCAACGGAGACATAGGGTAGGGGAGAAAGGAAAAAGTCAAAGGGTAGAAAGGGAGGTGAGAGGGGCAAAGGTGAACAAGGAAAGAAAAGAGGGATGGAAGTAGAGGAGAGAAAGCCATTAACATTGGTGAAAGTTCCACAAAGCAATAGATACAGGCCAGATTACTAAAGAATCCTGGCCTTTCCCAAAATGCTTTAAAGTCTTTCTGGATGAGAATACTGGGAAAGTTAGAATTAGGTAACTGGCCAAATGTGTCTATTTTGCCTGCTTAGCCTTTCATCAGGTTTGCTGAGTCATTGTGCACTATACTATAAGGGACTGGTGGTATAATTTGGAATATACCTGAGCCCCATGCAAACTACAGAGGTACCTTAAGATTAACTGGCTTTTGGTGTTATTAATTTTTACTATTGATGGAAGGTGGGTGTAGGGAAAAAGGTGGAGAAAAGTAGAAGGTAGACAGAAAGGCAAGTATTTAAGCTACTGGTTCAGTAAAGGAGAATGGCATAAAAGACATCAACCAACCAGTTCTTCATTCACTTTCACTGTTAAATAAGCGTTTCTCATCTCATACAACTTCTTGACCACTCAATTCTTTCTTTATCCTCTAATGTATGCCAAACATATCACAAGATCACTGGTGTTCAACATTGCAGAGCATGTGAAATGCTGAAATGTACCAAAAATAAACTTCACCTTCAATTTGGTTATCATTAGCTCTAACACCAAGATTTTCCACCACTAGGCCAACTGTAGCTTAACTGTCTACAAAGCATGGTATCAAAACCCCAAATGCCACACCATGTCAGTCTCCAAATTATATTAACTTAGAATTTTTAACAACCAGCTGAGGAGAAAGTGAGTGAGCTGTATTTTCCTAACAAGATAGTTAAAATACCTGCTACATTAGTAGAACACAACCCTTTTCCAGTTTCATACTGATTTTATAAAATCTGACAGATGCAGAGTTTGGCTAACTCTCATGGACTTTAGCCCTAATTTTTAGATTGGAAGTGAGTGGGGTTAAAGTTTCAGTAGATTCTGAGGTTATGAGACTTTCTCTTTAAGAGGAAAAAGTTTCCATGTAGACTCATGGGGTTAATGATGATTACATTAAGCCAAACCTTACAATAAAAACTCTAGCACTAAAATCTGATTTTGGCATTTCCATAGCATTAAGGTTTCTGAAAAACACACTCAACTGATATTCTAAGAGATACCACTTGTACAGCAACTATATCCCAACCACTGCAGAATGGAGGGAGGCCTATGACACAGAAGCCATGGACTCAGTTTCCTTACACACCCATTAAGAAGCTATAGAGAAGATTTAAGAAAGCTGTGAGACAGAATAACTTTCCTAAGGAAGCTTCTTTAATCTATCAACCACAGCCCCAAACGTCTGGTTACATAGAGCTGTCAGTTTAACCCTGGAACAAGGCATAAGTCACTGTCCAACTCTTCCAATATACACTGCCTAAGAAAATAAATATTAAAAGACAGCTCCTACCAACTTTCCTTATTTGTTAACAAAGAGACCTTATTTATTAATGACTTTAACAAGGCTCTTATCACATACTCAGCATCCATTAAACTTCTAATTCTGTTCTTCTTTAATAGAATTCTTCAGCCACCCCCTCCCCCAAACAACAAAGATCAACCCCATCACATACACATAGCTGCTTAAATTTTCCTCCATCTACATGAACAATCCTGTGTAGTCACAGTCACACAGGAAGAAAGATTCATTCAACTTGCTGTGACTGATCGGCCGCCCTCCAGCCCATCTCCCCATTCACTCAGACCCCCAGCCCTCCCCATACACTCAGGAACACACTCATGCACACTCACTCTCAGCCTCCAAGTGTGATTGAGATGGTGTGATAACTACCTCGGGTGACAGGGACTCGGGCCTATGCGCAGGGGAACTCTCAGGGGAGGATATGTTCTAGAGGAGGGAAAAGCATCTTGTTATTCATCTACTCCAAGTCAAGAAGCAAAACAAAACAAACAAAAAATAAAGCAAGCATAGATGTTAGCCACAACTTGGGGAGGAGGGGAGGTGTTGGATAAGAATGCACCAGGGAAATGTTTAACTGCAGAATTCATCTAAATGGATAGAATGACTTATTAAAATGCTTCCTGGGGTCTTCGAAAGCATTTAAGGAAAAACTGGTTATAATGTTTCATGCTGTAAGTAAACACCTCAAGCATATTATCAGGAAAGAGTTAGGTGAAATTTTACAGGATTATATATTTCTTTGTATCAGAAGAAAGTTTAGCAACCTTTAGTACTTGTTATTGAAGGCATCCTACTCCCTATTCCTTCTTAGAGGAACCTTGTTCATACACCCACATCCCTTCTGATCATCCCATTCCTTCATTGACTTATATGTCTCAGGCCACCATGGTTATCCAGGGGAACATCTTAGCACACTGGGGACTAACAAGGACTGGTCAGTTTCTCTTGAATGAGAGCCCAAGGAAGTGTGAGTGATGAAATCCCTAACTTACAAGCTGGATTTGGCTCTTGGCACAATCTAATTGGACCGGAGCACTTCTAACAATATTATCTTGGTTAGCATCCATTTTACTTCAGGGAACATAGCGAAAAAAGAAAAAAACATGTATGTCACCTAGAATCTACACAGGGTAGCACTCTTACCTGAGGCAGCACTTGCCCAACAATAGGGACTAGGCAGTGGGCTCATGATAGGTAGATGTAAATGACATGTAAAGAAAGTAATGGTGCCGACTGTGACAAGGATTCAGAATGCAAGGGCTGAGGTGAGAAAAGGATTTCCCAACATTGTGGACTCTGGATAAGTGTGGCCCTGGTGGCTGACCTATGCTCTAGTGGGTAGGATTAATGATGTTGTTTTCAGCAGAGCAGGCTTTTAGCTGTGAATTTTATTCAGCGGAGGGTGGCTAGTATCTGTGTGGAGTATGGATCTGAGAGCAGAAAGAGAAGGGAAATTCTAGTGGAAAGGAGAGGTGAATTAAGCTTGCCTTCCCAATGTTACTTTAATTTCTCTTTCTAGATGCTGTCCCTCACACCAGCCCACTACCTCAGCACTGGAGTTTCCTCACTTATCTCCTGAATATTCTTCCCTTTTCAAAAATATTTTCCCCCAAAGTAAGCTGTTTTTTAACTTGTAATATTTTTTTTGATATTTCTTTATCATAGGTTTTCATGGACAAAAGGCTACTCATCTGTACTAGAATATACATAGAGTGTGGCCATTAGTATCGTAATAAGAATGGGTCAGGGAGGTAAAGTTTTTCTTTTTTCTTTTTAATATTTATTTTTCAGTTATAGATGGACACAGTGTCTTTATTTTATATTTATGTGGTGCTGAGGATCGAACCCATGCCTCACGCAAGCTAGGCGAGCGCTCTACCTCTGAGTCACAATTCCAGCCCCTTCTTCTTCTTCTTTTTTTCTTTTAAATGAGAAAGGCTAAATTTCCTTAGTTAAATCATAAGTTTACAACAGTGGAACCTTGCACTGGAATTTTTGCTATTTAATATTTTCTTTCCTTCCTGGTATTCTGCTTCATTAAAATGATTTTTGAGTTTTTAAAATTTTTAAATAAATAAAACCCCCTTGCGTTTGTATAGTGTTTCAATTATTCAAAACAATATAAGGAATACAGAATGCACTGACTGCTTGTTTTGGAGGAAAACTTACTTTCTAATTTCTGTAATATCACTTATAATAATATAATTTGCCTTGCTAAAGTATACTATTATATTCATATAATCTAATGGCCTCCAGAGAGAATTTTCTCTCATGATATATATATATATATGTATATATTTAGTTATAGATGAACATAATGCCTTTGTTTATTTTTATGGGGTGCTGAGGATTTAAACCTAGTGCTTCACATGTGCTAGGTAAGCACTCTACCACTGAGTTATAACCCAAGCCCCTCTCATGATATCTTTTTTTTTTTTTTTTTAATATTTATTTTTTAGTTTTCGGCGGACACAACATCTTTGTTTGTATGTGGTGCTGAGGATCGAACCCGGGCCGCACGCATGCCAGGCGAGCGCGCTACTGCTTGAGCCACATCCCCAGCCCCTCATGATATCTTATTATAAAATTCAAATTGCTTAATGAAAAGTCAACTGCAAGTACATAAAATAAAATTAAAAAGTTTTGAATTTGCTGCCTTAATATTCCCTAACAAGAATACCATAAGGAATTTGATAAAGAGTAATTTTTCTAGAAAGGTCAAACACAACCAGGAGTTTGGTTTTTTTTCCCACCAGAAGGAAGTTTTTTTTTTTTTTTAAATCTTTATTTTTTAGTTGTAGTTGGACACAACACCTTTATTTCACTTGTTTATTTTTTTAGAATTTTAATATTTATTTTTTAGTTTTTTGGCAGACACAACATCTTTGTATGTGGTGCTGAGGATCGAACCCGGGCTGCACGCATGCCAGGTGGGCGCGCTACCGCTTGAGCCACATCCTCAGCCCACTTGTTTATTTTTGTATGTGGTGCTCCACCTGCAAGGCGAGCACTCCACCACTGAGCCACAACCCCAGCTCCAGGAAGTTTTGTTCCAAAAGTAAGATATTATGATCTAAAGTAAGGTACAGAACAAAGCTGTGCTTTCAATGTTATTTTCTCCTTCTGAGTATACACAAAAATTCCAGCTATTTTTACTCTTTACTCTCTCAAAAAGGCTGAATAGGGAGGGTGGGATTGGTTAGAACATTTAATGATCAAAACAACCTCTAGAGAAGTGAAAGCTAAGTACGTTTAGTGGTCAGAAAAAGTTTTCTGAGAAGAAAAAGTGTCCATTTAATGTAATTACAGAAGAAAGCAACATGCAAAAGATGAGTTAAAAAAAAAAACAACAAAAAAACAAAAACGCATGGACTCTATTCAAACCTGCCACCCAAACTTGAATACTAAAATGATTCAGAATTACATTTTGAAACAGCTGAGGTATAGATTTCTAACTTAATCCAAAGAAGTGAATGTAACAAATTTGACTTTTATAAATGCATGTTGCTAGTCTTGTGTCCATTTTTCATCCCTAACGCATTGAAACAAGAAGGGAAAGTAACCTGGAGTGGAAAAAAACAAAAACAAAAAGACAATCGCCATAAGCCATTCTCCAATGCTTTCTAAATCTGCTCACTGAGGCTACAATGAAAATACCAAACAACCTGGCAAAGACACCTCACCCATTTACATGGAGACACAACCCATCAGTACAATCTAAGCTCTCAGGCTGCTGCTACTAATGGTTACTACAGGCACCTAGAAGCCTCTTTTGACCAAAGTATACAGTAAAGATGTAAAAAGATCCAGCATGCTAATACCTAAAGTTAAGGAGACTGAGGAACTGCATGCCAAAGAGAAATGAATGTGATCTGTGGTAGCATTCTTCCTATTCTGAGAAGTACAGGGGCTGCCAAGATGAGAGGCTACCAGGTTAACAGGCCACACTGACCCTGAGATTTTCCATTCTCTTGGTGAGATGGGGAAGGAAGACAGTAAAGAAACATTTGAAATGACATTATATTTGAAATGAAGAGGTACAAATGATGATTTTTCATATCTAGTACACCCCCAAAACCAAACCCAAATCACCTCAAACTGCAGAGGAGTGTTGCAGCGACTAGCAGTAGTAAGAGACGTGATTGGCGAGAACATGAGGCTGTATCCATTTCGACACTCCTCTTCTCCTGGGTAAGTCTGGCCAGGTGCGGTCAGTTGGGGGCTCTTTGAGCCTGAACTGGAAGGGGGTGGTGTGACCGGAGACAGAGGCCGAAGTAACTTGGTAACATTCTGCTCCATCAGATAGCGAGACTTCCATTTCTTTAATGGGCTCAACAAGTCTGTGAAATACAAAGCTCGCATGAGAGATGAACTGTAGCTTAATGGGAAGCTCTGTAGTCAAGCTATTAATCTCTGACCTATAATGACTTGTACCTCTTTTGCCTCATCTCATTAAATTAACTCCTGCAATCAAACAAAAAATCCAGAGAAACTCTTAATTACAACTGCACTGAAAATAAGTCTTAAAGCACTCTCTCAGAGAAATTCAAATTATTCTGACAGTTCTTTCCTTTTGAAGACACTTAGGTCTGTTATGTTGCCCATGCTGTGCTGCCCACCATCCTGCTCCCTTAGCCTTCTAAGGAGCTGGGATTACAGATGTGGGCCACCACACCCAGCTCTGAATCTGACAATTCACATGACTGATACACAGAACTAATTTACTGTATCAGAGCAAAAGAGAAATTCTTCGTATCACACCAAGCTTCCAAAAATTTTAAATCTGTGTTACTTTGTTAAAATCACCTTCTACTTAACTGCCACATCACCAACTAAAACTACTGGCATGCCAAATGCATATGCCGTTTACCTTTTCTTATGTATTTGTGCCCCCTTTCAATGGTTCTATAACATTTTGAGCATAAAGAAAAGGCATACATGGTTCCTTGACATGGATCTAATTTCTAGTGAAAAATGTGTATTGATTTTTATAAATATTTCTCTCAACCATTAAAAAAAAAAATCTAGATGTTACTCCTTTTCTCATTTGGCTAACCCCATTTTCTATACTTCTTCAGTCTACTTAAAAAGCAAATTACTACACTACATATGTCAATGACCTTTCAGGACAAAGCAGCCTACTTACTGGAAAATACACATTCCTAATTCTATTCATTGATTGATTTAACAATGGCCATGAATTTACTTAACACCTACTATATGCAAATCACTGATGCATAATGATACAGGTAAGGGGGGGGGGAGATAGTCAAAACATATTCTATTTTCAAGAGCTTAAAAATTTGTAAGAGAAGCCGGGTGTGGTGGTGCATGCCTGTAATCCCAGCAGCTCCAGAGGCTAAGGCAGGAGGATTTTGAGTTCAAGGCCAGCCTCAGCAACTCAGTGAGACTAATAAAAATTATAAAACAGGGCTGGGGATGTGACTCAGTAGTTGAGTATCCTTGAGTTCAATCTCCTTTACCAAAAAAAAAGTAAGAGAAAGCACATATAAAACATGCTTGATACGTTTGATGATACTGTTATGTGTTAAAAACAATAGTTAAAGTCAAGTGCGACAGTGTGTGCCTGTAGTCCTAGCTACTTGGGAGACGGAGAAAAATAATTGCTTGAACCTAGGAGTTCAACTCTAGCCTGGGCAAGTGTTGTGTGTGATTTTTACATACTAGGCACTGTTCTATGTGTTTTATGTGAAATATCTGATTTAATATTAACAAATCTATAAATCCAGTAGTATTGTCACCCCACGTTAAACAGGAGGACATTGCTGCATGTACAGAGATATGAGGTAATCTAGCTCCTGTCTTCATTTTATTATTTATTTATTTTTTTATGGTGCTGGGGATTGAACCCAGGGCCTTGTGCATGCGAGGCAAGCACTCTACCAACTGAGCTGTATCCCCAGCCCTCCTGTCTACACTTTAATCACTATGTTGAATTACATCCGCAAAGCTTAGTCAAAGGAGTGAACCTATACCAGGACTTCAGGTAGAAGTTTTGGGTCAGCAGTTAATGATTAGAATAAAACTGGTAACTGGGAAACTATCTGGAGTTAAGAGGTGTAAGGCACCGATTAGGGTAACCTATTTAAATGCAGAGAGAAGAATAAATGCAAAAATATTGGAGATGTTTATATTCTTTCTGGTATCTCAAAAAATTTTTTTATTTTCCTACACTGGAAGTATATTGATGTTTTCCTTTTTTTTCTCCTAGAAACTAAGTTTTCTCTCCTCTTTTAAAAAAAAGTACCTAGGTATTAGAAAAGGAAAAAACAAACATATAACACAAGGATTACATTCAGAATAAGTTTTTAAATATTTCAAGAGACTTATATAATAAATAAACAAATAATAAAAAGACCTCTGTTCTGTTAGGTCCAACACTGATAATTATTAAAGTCAAGTAAGTGAAGTGATAAAGTTCATTGTAGAAAAACTAGAAAATTTGGGTAAAAACTATTGCCTGCGAATCAGTCTACAGGAGACTCATTTAACATATTTACTGAATACTTATGACATTCTAATGTAAAAAACAGACCTGACATTTCCCTTTATGAAGTTTATAGGCCAGCAGTCTTTGATTACTTACTTTCCCTCCCTTTTAATTTCATTGCATAATAGTTGTTACCCCCCACCCCTTTTGTGGTGCTGGGGATTGAACCTAGAATCTTGTGTGTGCAAGGCAAGCACTCTACCAACTGAGTTATATCCCTAGCCCAGTTGTTAAACTTTATGTGGTCAAATCTATTTGTACTTTAATGTTTTCTAAAACTTCACTCAAGTACTTCTCAGGATTATTATATATGTAGGGCTGAGATTGTGCCTCAGCGGTAGAGTATTTGCCTGGCATGTGTGAAGCACTGGATTAGATCCTAGGCATCACATAAAAATGAATTAAAAAAAAAGAATAAAAAATCTTTATTTTGTATTATGTCCATATATAACTAAAATTTTAAATATATAAAACATTATATATGTAAAAATACATACAAAAGTTGAAATCATACTCACAAATTAATGCACTGCATTAAAACCTTCTTTCTTAACATGGTCTTAATGACTCCTGTGTTACTCACACTGCTTAATAATTACTTTTACTCAGAAATACATGGTAAAAACCTTGCTATGAAAAGAAATGTCTGTAATTCAGTTTTTTAAGGGCTGCATGGCATTAATATTACCAAAATTTTATCAGCTTAAGTACCTTTCATTATTTTGCTATTATAAATACACTTCAATGAACAAAAATTTTACTCCTACATATTTTCTGCACTTGTTTCATTGTTTTTTCTTTCTTTTTATTATGACAAATGGCTACATGAAGGATTTTTAAACCAAAAGAATGTTCACATATGTTTACTAAAATTGTATTTATTCTCTTTTAAAATATATTTTTTAGTTGTTGGGAGACCTTTATTTTATTTGTTTATATGTGGTACTGGAGAGTCGAATCTAGTGCCTCAAACATGCTAGGCAAGTGCTCTATCACTTAGTCACAACGCTGGCGCCTAAAATTATATTTATTCTTGTGAAAACTGCTTGCTCATGTACCTAAGCCTGCATTTCATTGGTCTTTTTCTTGACTTGTTACAGGCTCTCTAAATAATGATACTGATCCTTTGAAAAAAAATGTTTCAAATGCAGTTTCTTGATTTGCTGCCTGCTTTTAAATTTTATTTAAATATTGTCTTTGCTATGTAATGTTTTATGTTTTTACTTAGTCAAATGCATGAATCATTCATTTCTTTGATTTTCTGCCTCTGATAATCAGGAACATGTGTCTGACACCCCACCCCAAGACTATAAAAATACCAGCGGGTTTTCTCTTTATCTCCAGGTACAACTGTTTAACTTTCATTCAGGTTTATTTTCTAGTGTTCTCTCTTTTTAACTACTGTGGACAGAATACGCTTCTCTATTTTTATGATCTCTAGTACTTTTTTTTTTTAGTTAATTCTCTTGGGATTTCTAGGCAGATGATCACATTACTTGTACATGACAACAACACATGCACCCTTTCTTTATTTATCAGTACTTTTACCTGTTATTCTTTTTATCTTGAGTAGTCTCTTTGGCTAACAGTTCCAGGATATGTTAAATAATAACAGTGGGATAATTTGATAACCTACTTCAGGGCTTAAGTGGTTTTTACAATGAAGTTTATAATTGGCAACTGTTTTTACATAGATTAAAACCAAGCATGTTATTTTATTATTAAATTTGTAATAGCCAATGTGCCATTACTGTTCCTTCCCTATTTGATCAACAAATGAATTATATTAATAAATTCTCAAGTATTAAACTATGTTTACATTCCTAAGAGAAGTGGTCCCTAGGACATTTGGTCATCATATACTATTCTTTTAATACAGACTTAAGGTGCTAATTAAGATCACAAATCTAATTTAAAACTGTTACTATACTGTTTTGCCCTTTTTTTTAGAGAGAGAGAGAATTTTTTAATATTGTATTTTTTAGTTTTTGGCGGACACAATATCTTTGTTTGTATGTGGTGCTGAGGATCGAACCTGGGCCACACGCATGCCAGGCGAGCGCGCTACTGAGTCACATCCCCAGCCCTACTGTTTTGCTCTTTAAGTTAGTTCTATTGCTACATAATTTAAACTTTCAGAAATGTAAAGTCTTTTTTTTTTAAATATACTTTTTCAAAGTTGTATATGGGCACAATGCCTTTACTTAATTTATTTTGATGTGGTGCTGAGGATCAAATCCAGTGCCTCACATGTGTTAGGCAAGCACTCTACACCGAGGTACAACTCTAGCCCGAGGAATTCAGAATCTTTAATGTAACTAGTATTCATGTTTGAAGAAAGAATACTCTGTGTAGAGTAACAATTATGGATCTGATACTGTCTTGAGCATTTTACGTGCTATTCAATCTCTTATTAGCCCCATAAAGCAAATATCATTATTCTCATTTTACAGATGAAGCTTAGAAACACTTAGTAACAACATATAGTTGGTAAAGGACAGTATTGATTCTCAAATAAAGGTCTATTTGATTCTTTTCACTATATGGATATGTCTCCCTTATTAACGTCTCTTTGGTATTTTTTTTTTTTTTAAGTTTCTTTTAGACAGACACAGTACCTTTATTTTATTTATATGTTTTTATGTGATGCTGAGGATCGTACCCAGTGCCTCACACATGTAAGGCGAATGCTCTACCAACTGAGCTACAACCCCAGCCTCTCTTTGGTATTCTTGAAAATAACAACAAAAAAACCTCTAACAAATATTTCCTCAATATTTATACTAACTTTTAGCAATATAAGTCACTCAGGAGCGTCTAACCATTGAGCCACAACCCCAGTCCTTTTTTTTTTTGAATTTTATGTAGACACAGTTGCTTATGGCTTTGTTCAATTGATGAGGCTGGCTTTGAACTTGCAATCCTCTTGCTTCAGCCTCCCAAACCCCTGGGATTATAGGCATGCACCACCATGCTTGGCCTAGTGCTTAATTTATAAATTTTTTCCTTATGTTTGTTAATTTTAAGTGAATCCTCCCACTGTTTGCTACAGACTAGAGCAAAAGCTCAAAAAATGCATTGATAACTAACAGTCTTAATTCCCCACTAAATAGGGCATGTAGAAACATGTACTTTCTAGTTTTCAAGGCACTTTTCCTTTAAGTCTCTGCCAAGTCAGGACATGAAGTGCGGTATAATCTCCTTTTCTAATCTTACTTATACACCTACATAATACCCAGCAGACACACATACACACACACACATAGACCATCTCACCTAAATTACTCTAACTAAACTTCAAAAGCTGCCAGTAGCTGGGCATGGTGGCACATGCCTGTAATTCCAGAGGCTTGGGAGGGTGAGGCAGGAGGATTGTGAGTTCAAAGCCAGCCTCCCCAAAAGTGAGGTGCTAAGTAACTCAGGGAGATCCTCTCTCTAAATAAAACTAGAGATGGGGATGTGGCTCAATGGCTGAGTGCCCCTGAGTTCAATCCTTGGTACCCACCCCCTGAAAAAAACCTGCCAGTAAATTGATAATACTGATGGAAATCTGCCAATGATTTCTTTATATTATTATTTATGTTACACATGGATTAATTCATAACTTACAAGGTATAATCCAATCTATGGAGAGAAGAATAAACTAAGTCAATAATTTAAAAAGTGGTGGCCCAGTTTTTCAACCCTAAATTAAAAATCCAAATAAAAGCTTTTTTTTTTTTTTTTTTGGTGGTTGTGGGGGTGATGGGGTACAACCCCAGTTCTTTTAAAATTTATTTTGTGACAGCGTCTTGCTAAGTTGCTGTGGCGGGTCTCAAATTTTTGATCCTTCTGCCTCAGCCTCCTGAGCTGCTGGGATTACAGGAGCATACCACTGTGCCCAGCTAAAAGCAGAGTTTTAATATAAAGCAAATGTTACTAGTAAAAGTTTTTTTAACTGAATTCAAGTTTATAATTATCTAACAAGTTTATGAATATAAAAAAGATTTTTATAAAAATCTGAAATATTATCTTGTGAGCTATAGCTTTATATAAGCTTGAAAATCTAATTTATTTTAGTATTTTGACTGAGTAACATTCAGAAAACGGATGTAGAGATAAACATATGGAAATAACAAAGAAATTTCCCCTTTTGTGTTGGTGCCAGGTAATGGCAAAGGTTAAAAGCACACACTCTTAACACTGAAATACACCCCGGACCTGAAATATTTTTTCAGTTGACATGAACAGGAGAAACTTTGTTAAAAAGACTGTACTAAATAAGTTAACATGTCACCACAAGTTAATATACGAGCGCTTTCAAAGAGAACCCCTTCAAGAGTCACTGTGAAAACCAGTGGTGGAATTTTCATAGCCATATTGTTCAAAAACTCATAAGGAGCTTAAGTTGAATTTAAAGCCATGTCTTCTTAAATATTTTACACTAATTATACAAGTTCACTTGAAAACAACCAATTAATAACAATTCCTTATATTTATTTCATTAATCCTCTGCCCCTCAACCATGCCCCCAACTCAAACACTTAGAATTTTTCCCTGAATATTAGTATTTCACTTTCTTGACTCCCCCCCTTATAAATATGAATATATATTCCTAAACTTACTACTTTAAATGTATCTAACCTTTTTTATAACCATTTCTGCTGTTATCTGTATACTGTCTAGTTCCTTCTTTGTCGTCCTTGGAAAACTGATCCCTGACTTGAGATCTCTCTCTTCCTCTGTAAAGACAGATGTAAAGTAACTATTTAGAGAACATGCTATTTCTTTTTTTATATCAGAGTACGAATTCTGAAATTTTTAATGTGGACCTCAAATAATGATTGATCATGTATTTAGAAAGGTTTTAGATACATACCTGCATTGTCTTTGCAGATACTAGAATTACTATTCTCATTACTTTGGTATAGTTGCTGCGTTCTAGTCTCTTGGGGTACAGGTGTTTGAGTCATCCCTTCTTCCAAGGCTTGCTTTATCCAGCGCTATAAGGGGGGAAAATCAGAGAATTATCAATAACACCTTAAAACTTTTCAGTACTTATTTCAAACACACTAAACTAGGTCATTTTACATCAAGTGCTGGGAGAGGCAATCCAACACATTCATTCAATAACATGTCAAATCTCAATCTCCAAAATAAGTTTTGTATTTCACTGTATTAGAATACTACCCGATCAATTCCTCTACCAGAAGAAATTAAGGGGGGAAAAAAAATACAAGTAAAAACTCCAACTATCATACTGCTTAAGACAGGGTAAATGGGGAGAAATAAGGAAGAAATCTTAACATTTATTTAAGAGACTGGTCAGGTCATACAGAACAAAACTAATACAGAAATACGTGTCTAGAAAGAAGATAAAGTTTGATCTCTTATGAGTTGTCTGCTCTATGCTGGGACATCTGAAGAGATAAAAGATTCACAGGAGGACTTTGGATGAGAATAAATAGCTCTTTACTACAAACCAAAAGACTTACTCAGAAGTGGAATAACCTATGAGCTTCCCCCAATCAACTAGTTTGGTTAAATTATGCAGGAATAATGCAAATCACCAGAAAAATCAAGTCAAAAAGAAGACCTCTCTAATAAGTTACTTTCTTTGGTAGTGAATATTGGAATCTAAATTGATGAGAAATAAATTTAGGTCAGACTGTAAGCCTACAAAAATTAGGATAGTAAGAATTTATATCCTGTGGAAGAGAGAACATATATTACCTATAATGTATCTCTTAAGATACATAGTTGTAGGTTCCTCACTGTTCTGTGGTTCCCCTCCCCTGACAGAAGACAGATTGAGTTTTGACAAACATCATTTTCTAAGTTAGACTCTCCCTCAAATGGGAAGAGTAAAGGTGAATAAATTTCACACCTTTAAAGAACATGTATTACAGATAAGCAAATATTCTTTCCACCAAAGAGAACAATTCTGATAGATTTTCCCTTTAGAAACTTATGATGTAAATGTCACTGTGGTCTGCCAAATGAAAACAAAAATAAAATTGTGAACATGAGGAGATGGGAGTGAATCAATATATAGAGGAGACAGGAGTGAATGAATATATAAGAGACTCAAGGGTCATCTGAATTTCATTAATATTCTAGGATATGACCAGGTCACTGAAAAGACAAGACCAAAAACTCCCTTACATACAAAATACCTTTAGAGCTGAAAAGAGATCTTAGAGTCATCCTGTCTAAAGCATTCATTTAACAGAGGAGAAAATTTGACTTGGGAAGACGTGAGTGAAAAATCCTTTGTCCTAGATACTCTTAGTACAAGTTTTTTTTTTTTTTCTCAGAGAAGATGACAGCACTCATTTGGTGGTTCCTGAGCTTTCCTCTAGAAGTTAATTTTTTATAGTGTCAAGTAGATGTACCCACAAAAAACTTTTACATTCTGGATCTGATGACCACAAAAATGGAACATTAAAGAAAAACAGGGGTATTCTAGGAATAAGATGCTACCACAATTGATAAGGTTAAACATAGCAAATACGATCAAACCTATTCTCTTCCTTGGCCTGTTGAAGATTATTATTATTATTTTTTTAAATTTTTGTTTGTAGTTGTAGATGGACAGAATGTCTTTCTTTTATTTGTTTATTTTTATGTGATGCTGAGGATCAAATCCAGTGCCTCACCCATGCTAGGCAAGTGCTCAGCTGCTGAGCTACAGTCCCCCTGCCCCTATTGAAGATTCTTATAGTATTTCAGGACAAGTATAAAAAAGAAACATGAAAACACTTCTTTGAATCTAACAAGCTCCAAAAACACTTCTTTGAATCTAACAAGCTCCAATCACCCCTATTAATTTTAGAACCCCCCCCCCAAACTTCTATTTGGTTACTAAAGAACATTTCTCCTTTCTCTGAAACTATATTAAGGAGAAAAGTTTGAGGATCAAACCCAGTGCCTCACCCATGCTAGGTATGTGCTCTACCACTGAGCTACAACTCCAGCCTGAAAAAATGTTTTTTTTTTTTTTTTTGAAAAGTCAAAGATAGGTGAGAAAGGGTAGCATTATTATGGGGAAAGAAGAACGAAGTATCAGGTTTTGGAATCCCAATACCTGAGTTGAAACACGGCTGTGCCAATAAACAAGATGCCTTAATTTTGGGCAAGTTTTTTTGAGCCAAAAGTTCTGAATCTAAACTGTGCCCAATAATACCAAACCCACAGGGTTGTCATGAAGGTTAAGTGAGATAACAAATTTCAACACATACTTAATGACACACATATTAATAATCCTTCAGAATACACAATAAAATACCAATGTACAAGTAAAGCATTTCATTAGTCTGGTAGGTTTTTAAGAAATGGAGGAGACTAAATGATTTTATAGAAAACGATAAAATGTATAAAATGACTAAAGATTTGTTGGTCATTTATTTACTTATTTATTTTTTAGAGAGAGAGAATTTAATATTTATTTATTTATTTTTTTAGTTTTCGGCAGACACAACATCTTTGTATGTGGTGCTGAGGATCGAACCCGGGCCGCACGCATGCCAGGCGAGCGCGCTACCACTTAAGCCACATCCCCAGCCCTTTGTTGGTCATTTATAAATGCTTCTTTTCTAAAGTACTGTTTAAGTGAAATCTAAAAAATAATAAAATCATAAGATATCTTCTTTTAGGAACTATGGCTCAATTTAATTTAGACACTCCAGGGATATCAATAAATGTTCTGACAAATACTCTAATAATCTGGGTACAAATATATAGATCAGACTTTTATTTGTCTCATACTATTTTTAACTTATGAGGCCTACATTCTTTAACCAGATATTAAACAGTGAGCCTATCATGAATATGCATTGTTGTAACTAATCCCGTGGAAGGTAGGTTTTTTTTTTTTCATTTATTCATTTAACTTATATTCTGAGGGATTTTCAAAATTTATTATGGTTTGGTTTAATCATGGAAATGTTCTTAGGTCTTGAACTAGATGTGTCCTTTCTAACCAATCTAAAAATAACTCTTCTCCATCCCTACCTAGGATAAAGATGACTTCAATTTCTAGCTAAAAGATTCAATTTCATTTATTTTGCCCACAAAAAAGCTGCATGTTTTGTAACATAGATTTGTTTATAATAAATATTAAAGCAGTGATTTAATCTTAACTGATTTAGATATAAACAAATAATTTTAAGATCCCATTGCTATGATAATTCAATGTACAGTCTAATGTCTCCCTGAAGACTGATCACTACACATACAAAGTGCTTAAGTATAGCCTGTATAAAATGAGACTAAGGATGAAGGCTGAGACTGTAGCTGAGTGGTACAGCACTTGCCTAGCATGCACAAGGCCCTGTTTTCAATCCCTAACACCACAAAAACCAAACAACCAACTGGCTGGCCAACCCACACACCCACCCACCCTCCAAAATCAAAGAGGCTCAAGAACGAGGATAGTCAGATGCATTTAGAGAATATAATATGGATTTGAGTTAAATGGGATTTTTTTTTTTCCTCTTCTGTCAATGGAGATAGAAAGATGAGCTTTCAGATTTAAGTCTTAAATCACAACCAGGTCAAAAGGGCTCAAAGAAATGGATTTTCTACTGAATGTGAAGTCACAATTTTAAACACACATTTTCAGTCTTTAAAGGCTTCTGCTACTTGGAAAAGTAAGAGTTTAATTTGTCTTTGAGCACAAAAAGACTGTATCCTAGCATCATGATTATCAAGAAGGCATTTCAAGAAGCTAGTTCATATTATTTACAACAAAGTCTTTATGCCAACCCCTCTTAAAGACCAAAGCAAGAGCGTTTACCAACTAGCTTGAAAGAATCTTTTAGCAGCCAACATCCTTAGAAATCTAGTACCACGTCCAGCCAAACACAGAACAAGAAAGTTATTTTAAATATATTAAGCCATCTCTCAACTTACTCCTCATTTAAAGACTATATCTACTCCATTTCTAATTTTAAACACTCCTTACAAATGCATTTATGATTTTGAGCTGTTAATCTTATTGAGCAATGCTAAACACAGGAGAAGGATCAGTTTTCAGTTTTGTATCCCACACTAAAGCTAGCAGCATTCTAATTCTTACAGAAGTATAATCATAATGCTTTTTACATGGCAAACCATTTTTCTTCTCCTCAGATAATCACTAAGACCCAAGATAAAGAATTCTTCCTAAGTGACATACTTGGTATAAGAAAGTTTCCCTGGAGACCCAGTTCTCCTTCATTACTGAGGCAAATTTCCTATAGAAAAGCTTTTCAGAGATTTTCTACTTATTTTTAAAAGAAAGTCGTCACTGCTTTTATTTCTGACACCTGAAAGTCACTCCTGTTAATTTATTATTTATAAACCTTCTTGGCAAGGATCTTGTGACCAAATTTCTGTTTATGATTTCTTCTATTTGGGATTTTCCCCAAACAAACCAAGATGTACTCAAATACTTAGGTAAGACGCACAATTAAGAAAAGACAGTGCAGCACATGCTGCTCATCCAGCAGTAATGCCCTTCCTTTATGTACATATTCCTGTTGCCCTCCTCCCCTCCGTATCCCACAGTACTTTGGCTCATCTTTCACTCCCCCCCACCCCCCAAGAAATAATTTCTGTTCTTTGGAGAAAGAGAAAAGCTTTAAGTTTGGAGAAGTCAGGGAAGACCTGCCTGGAGTTGGAGACTTCATCACACCAAATAATCTACATGCAGCATCCTCATGTACGTGATGCCAGTGGAGGAGGGCAATGGCAGACACTGAGGAAGGCAGCCTGAATCCAGATCTGAGGATAAGAGAAAAGGGTGTTCCAGGGAACAGAACTCTACCTCAAAGAAAGACCAAATGAAAAGGTGTCCTATACTTCTAGAAACACTGACACGACATAATAAGTGATCTAATCCTGAGAGACACCTTTGAAAAATATGTAGGGCTTCTGGGAATTAAGAAAGCACATTCCCCAAACAACCAACCACAAACACTGCTGCCACTAGATCCAAAAACACTAGGTAACTAGAAAGAGAGAGAGGTAGAGAGAGGCAGAAAGAATCTTTTACAATAGTTTCCATATTCTCTAGGGAATAGACAGTCCAACCTGTTGTCATTTGATCAAGAAACAGGAATTATGCCAAACACAACAGGACTTTTCCCTCTAACCTCCTCCAAGTGATAGTAGTGATCGAATTAATTCTAAACACAATTTTATCAAATTTTACTCATTCAATAGTGCTCTGAAGTATCTGGGGGCCAATCACACAGTAATCACAAATGGATGTTAACAAGTAACACAAGAGCACAGACATAACATACCCCTCCCTACCCAATCATCAACTGCTGTGTGCTCTCACAAGAACCTCAAAGGCTCCCAAAAGAGACAACAGTGAATATTCACAAAATTGAGAACCAAAAATACAGTATACATTTCAAGTTAGTCCCATTGGCTCCTGATTTATCAGTATTCATGTTGAATAATTAACTCATTATCAGCGCACATGGATACAGTGGCTTTCTAGAGTATGTGTTAAATATATTATAATTTTAGGCACCCTGCCTTAAAACAAAACAAAACAAACAAACAAAAAAAACAATTACATAAACACAGACATACCTTCTTACAGGAGCTGAATGTGCCATCAGGCAGAAGGGGCCTCCGACGCCTCTCAGGCATAAAGGGTGAGCCAAAGCGAATGTAGTGTTTGGGGGTGGTGCAAATTAATGGGGAATGAATAAGACCCGGTAACATGTTCAGCGTTGTTGCTAGTACAGTTGGGTCTGTGGTGATACGTAAAGGGCATTCAACAGGGCACTCTTGCTTCTCGGCTTTGTCGTTCAGCCATTCTGTAACTAGATACTATGGTTAAAAAAAGGAGAGAGATCATTACTTAATGCTGCAGATGAAAAGTCAGAGGCAGTAGTAGTGCAGTTCACAAAGACAAACCTCATCTAGAAACTAGGACAGATGCCACAGCTGCAGTGAGAATGAATTGGGCATTCAGAACACAAGACTATCTTCCTTTACCCTCTCTGTGTCCACTAAGAGTGGAACAGTTTCAGTTACCAATGATTTAAGTTCTGTCTAAAAATAAGGGAACAAAAAGTAGTAGAATGGCTTGAGGCTTCCTCATTAAAGGATTTTATCTAGAACGTGATCTAGCAAACACTGAGATTAATTTTTTTCTGGGGATTACAGGTACTTGTGTTTTATTAACACATCTTCCGCCATACTAGACTCATGAAGATGAATTCATGACTTACCTTTTTGGTTTTGGGGTACTTAGATGTAGCACGGTTAACATGAGATCCAGTAACTGATATCACAGTTGGGTCAGATCCTGTTAACTGCCTGTTTTCTCCTGAACTGTCTATACTTCCAGTTTCAGTAGGAGTTACTGAGTTGTTACTTCCTCCCTCTTCCAAGGCAGCTTGTGACAACTCTGCCTGTTGTGCACTGGCCTGCTTCTGACGTTTTAGTCTTTGGGCTGAACTGGTCCGGTACCGAGAAATTCGACTCTTCGGTCGGGGTCTGGAAGGCTTTGCTGGAGGTGGTTTGGGGACTGGTTTTTCTGCAGCAACATCCTGTAACAACATCAGGGTCAAATGCTGACCAAAAATTCTTATCAGTAAACATTCTATCCAAATTCTTCTTTAAGCATTCTGAATGCCTACTGGTGAAAAAGATAAGGATTTGGAAACAGTCATTTAAAATGTATTCTTTAAAAAAAAAAATTATTTTTTAGTTTTAGTTGGACATAATACCTTTATTTTATTTATTTATATGTGGTGCTGAGGATCAAACCCAGGGCCGCACATGTGCTAGGTGAGTGCTCTACCGCTGAACCACAATCCCAGCCCTAAAATGTGTTCTTTAAACCCCAAAATTTATACATTTAAATTAACTAAAGAGATTGTGAACAGATATCTGGGTTAGTTATTTCTATTTCTCATAAGCATCTATAAAATAGGTCATAAGTCAACTAAAGGGAAACACCTAATTTTAGGGTTCTTAGCAGAAAGAGAATTCCTCCTTGTACTTCTTTCCTAGACAATGAGGTCTCAGCTTAAGGCTTAGATTCATGGCCGGGGGAAGGAAGGAAAAGAAGGGTTTATCTTGAGAATCCTATGAAAGGTACATGAGAGAACTCAAAATAATTTTATTTTTTGGTGGTGGGGGATTAAAACTGGGGCCTCATACATGCTAAGCACTCATTCTAACACTAAGTTCCACCCCTGGCCTATAAACCAAATGATTTTTATAAATTCACCACCAACAGTTTATCTAGCAAAAAAAGTACCAAGTTCCACTGAAGCATGAAGGTATTTAGTCATTCAAATTCTGAATTCACCTGTTTCCCTGAACCCCATAAATCAGCTGATGAAAATGTTAAGTGCCGTTATTTACTACGATACGGGACAAACCCAAAAATACGGATTTTAACCATCCAAAAGATAGGTTAAAAGGTAATTGGCAGGGGCTGGGATTGTGGCTCAGTGGTAGAGTGCTTGCCTAGCACGGGCGGGACCCGGGTTCGATCCTCCACCACATAAAAATAAAAAAGCATTGTGTTGTGTCCATCTACACCTAAAAAATAAATATTAAAAAAAAAAAAAAAAAAGTGGGCTGGGGATGTGGCTCAAGCGGTAATGCGCGCGCCTGGCATGTGCAGGGCGCTGGGTTCGATCCTCAGCACCACATAAAATAAAATAAAGATGTTGTGTCCACTGAAAACTGGAAAAAAAAAAAAAAAAAAAAAAAGGTAATTGGCATTAGCAAGAGCAAAGGTGCCCAAGCCCTGGTCTTTTCATCTCTTACCCCTGCTTGGGAAGACCTCCGGGTGTTCACTCCAATACTCTGTGGGATGCTTGGGATGGAAACATTTGAAGTAAGGTTGCTAACTTCAGATTCAGAAGCTTCTGTTTTTGTCTCTTCTCCAACAGGAGTCTCTGAGGTGGTGGCAGTAATCTCTATGTCAGGGCTGCTCTGTTCCAAGGGCTGATCTCGCCGTTTTTTTCTCTTTTCTAAGTTTTCGAAAGCATGCATAATGGCTTCAACCTTCCTATCCTCTCGGGTCTAGAAAGAAATAGCATTGGTATAGAAGGAAGCCCCAGTAGGAATAGGAGAATGTCAATTCAGAAGTGTTATTAATGTAAATTTATAGAAACTTACTTAACTACCAATAAGATAACACATATCTTTGAGAACATAAGATAATAACTAAAAACAAACTTTTTATTTTAAATGCTGGTAACAGGTATAAAAGAAAGCAAACCAAACTATACTTTCTTTTAAAAGGTCAACTGGGCTTTTTGGAAAAAAAAAAAAAATTTTCTTTTTTAGTTGTAGTTTGAAACATACTTTTGTTTTATTTATTTAATTTTATGTGGTGCTGAGGATCGAACCAAGGGCTTTGCATGTGGTAGGCGAGTGCTCTACCACTGAGCCACAACCCCAGCCTGAAAATTTTTAACATGTAAGAAAATAGCCATCAAAACCAAATTTTCTGCAGTACAGCGCTTGCCTACTGAGTGTGAGGTCCTAGGTTCGATCCTCAGCACCACATAAAAATAAATAAACAAAGGTATTGTGTCTACCTACAACTTAAAAAAACCCCAGAACCCCAAAAAACTCCATAAAAAACAAGAAAATTCCTAAGTCAGAGGAAAACAGTGTCAACACATCTTGTTTTAAACCACTGAGTTTTGGGCTAAAAAGATTATTATAAAGAAACCTCTTAAGGCAAGGATTAGATGGTCAACAGACAACTACTCCATGCATGCGTGTGTTCACCTATGTGTAGAGAAAGAAAATAGAAGCAAAGGGATGTTAGACAGCACTTACCCTCCTGCTCTGAGCTGTGTTCTCCTGGTCATCTATAACCTCTTCTTTCTCTTCTTCTGGTTTTTCTTCTGGATTGTCTACTTCCTTTAAATAGAAGCAATATTAAATTATATTCTTAAACTGGGGTGAGGGAAATCAATCAATTTTATTCTGGTAGCTTAAAATTGCCCAGAAATAATTTCTAGAGCTTTCATTTGTTACTCATGTGAGGCCACATGGCAAACAGATGATAATCCTCATTCTCCAAATGGAACCTGGACAGTAGCTAAAAGGTTTTGTTTTTTGTTTTTTGTTTTTTTTGGTGTTGGGGATCAAACCCAGGGCCTTGTAATTACTAGGTAAGGGCTCTTAACACTGAGCTATTGAAAGGATATTCACAAGAAAATGAATGAATGCAGATGTATGCTGATATAAATAGCTATTAAGTGTATACTACTGCTTCCCTAAAAATGAAGGAAACCTGGGATCAACTTCTTGGAAACGAATGATACCACATAATTTGACCAGAGGAGATTACCTCATGATCACTGGATAAAGTTACTTTTTCTGGAACTTCTTGTGGTTGCTGGTCATTATTCTCCTCTGAAGCCTCATTCTGCTGCTCCATCTCTAGCTCTTTCCGTCGTGCTTTTCTACGTCTGGTCTCTGCCCCAATGGTAGGGAGGGTTGGAGGAGGTGGGAGTGGCAGTTCTGCAGCATTTGGATTCCTTTTCTGTATAGGGCAATTCCGGTTCCCCTTGTGACATGCACAGTCCACTTTATAATTACTGCTCCAAAGAAACAAAAAATGTACTTGTCTCAGTATCCTTGAAAATCAGGTTTATCACCATTCATTCTTTTGAAACACCAGCAGGATAATTTCCTCTGGAATTATCTTTAAATAAGTTCAAAAAATTAGAGTGTCTCTAAGAATACTTTAATATTCTGTTTCTTTATATATTTCCCACTCTGTGCCTATGTATGGCCTGTAGAAAGAAAAGAAAGTATCCGCTAAATTTAATTCTCAATTGCTTTTATGCTATTCGATAGTCAATCAGTAAGAGTCTGAAATGGCCAAACTTCTATTATGCTCATCATTACTGTGTCTTCACTTTTACTTGAATGACTACTATTAATTTTGCTTTTTCTTATTCCTGGGCGGTATGAGTTTACCATATAATTTGGATTTTGCCCAAAACAACCAAAAGAGAAAAAGCATCTACTTTATAAAACCTATTACATATTCACCTATGACTTGCTATCTGTTTTTTCAAAATATATTGTCATATACAGCTAGATTACATAGTTTGAGCAAATGAGGTGAATCTTTTGTCTCATTTAGTGTGGCTCCTGACACAAATGCTCTGCTCACACTAACACATGCCATATAGATTCCAGGAGTGTCTCATACACCTTTTTTGCTATTCTTGCTAAAGAGCCATAAGTTACCACCTTTGTTAGGTGACTTGTAAATGGTTACAAAGAAAATATCAAAATCTCTAAAAAAGAATCTTCAGTTGGTCTTCTCCTTCACAGGTAGAAAATATATCATTTGTGAAAAGATTAAACCAAAAAATGGCAAGGAATGAAAGCAGACTTCATAAATAGAGTCAAACTGCTTAATATCTAACACAAGGTGATCCATGTTAGGAAAAATTTTTTGGGTCTTACCAGTTACTATACTCATAATCAAATGCAATGGTGACTTCAGCATCCTTGGTGATGGCAGAAACAGCATAAATACATAGATGAATCATCCCATCTGCAATCATGTGTCGCACCTGTATGAACATGGCTCAAGGTTGGATTTATCATAGACTATTATTTTCTCATAAAAGAGGAAAAATGCTTTTACCAAATAATTTCACTTAGAGTTATAATAGTCTGTGTAAACTTCATTCATTATTTCATATGTAATTATTATACAGTAAGGTCCTGATATTTCTTGAAATAATCAGAGAAACCTTGAGATTTAGAAATTGGGGGGGGGGGGGTTCTTATTTTAAAGTTGTTTCTGGTTCCACCAGACAATTAAAATTCCTCATCCTATAAATTAAGCTCTGTGGATTTTCTTGATGCATTTGATCTGGTTGCACTGAGTAATGAATTCAAGAAATATCCAGAATCTTACAACACTGTTTTCTCAAATCTATAAAAGTGAAACCAAATAGCTTAGCTGATCCTAATGATATCTTCCCCCACGTGACCACTTCAACATAATCAAACTAATTTCTTATCTATCCAGTCTACCTTTTTCTTCTTAGGAAACCCTAACTTACTTTTTCTCATTCTCCTGCTTTAAGAAAATCCATTCCTTGCCCCAATCCCACCAATGTCAAAGCAGTATTACTTTTGTTTTTCATCTTTTACAATTAAAGATTACAACTATTAGCTACAGACCTTTATCTGGGTGATTTTCAAAATGCTTCTTCAGTAAACTTGTCCTTTGGTGGTTCCATTCAAATGGAAGTTGTTACAGATATCTTACCTCTGCATTTGGTGTACATGATCTTCTGATGAAGCGAGCATCATTACCGAAAGTACGGGCATCCACACACATCTCTACACCATTGAATTTTGAGTAGAAGAGCACAAAGGGATATGGTCTAGGGATATAATTAAAATTCCTGTAATTCTCAACACAAAATAAAAAGGCCACCCCATGACTCTAAATATGAAGCATATGCTGACAGAAGAAGCAGCAGTCCTTTGCAATGCCTAAACTTGGAAAACATCACATGCTTGTCTGCTTTTGATTAAAGTACAAGCACAAAGCAAGGAATGTTGGACTTGGAAAGGAGTCATCACCACTTTATACATTAAACAATTTGCAGATTTATTTGCACTTCACTACAAATAGCAAACAGGCACAAACTTATTTGAATTGTTATCTTTTTCCCAAAAGCAACCTATCAACCAGGAAGAGTTTTATATCAATACTGGTCAGCCAGAACCATGTTAGCCCTCAATGCTCAACAAACCATGTTCTTACTTTTTGAAGAAATGCCCATTGACCTCAAATTGTTGCCGTAACATGACTTTCCCGCGGTACTCTATTATAAGAGTATCCAAAGCCAAATCTCTTGCAGCCCTCAGGATTTTACGGTGCTTTTGAACCCGAGTGACTCTTCCCAGCTGTAACTAAATAAAACCAGAGTATTAACATTAAACAAAATAGCAACAGCAGATTAGTAGACAAAGTTTTGAATTTGATATAAGCTCAAATTTTCTAGGAAAAATGCCCCACCTAGTGAACCTGCTACCCAGAAAAGGGAAGAAAAGATCAAAGAAATACCCACGATTAAGATTTTAGTGATTCTTTCTCTAAAATAAGAATGAGGGTTAGCTTTCTATAAATCTTACACAATTCCTAGGGCTGTGTAAAATTTCCTATCCTGATTTATTTTTGATTAATAAAGATAATTTAAAAATATGTATCCAGATAGTTTCCAGTAAATATAACCTGTTTTTTTTTTTTGTTAAAAAATACAGTTGGCTAATTTGTTATTCTAAACTTTTTACATTTAGAAGAAAGAATTTGCAATCCATGCCTTTTCCTGAGATTTCTAAAAAATCTCTACTTCTTTAATTAACCCTTTGTTCCTTACCTGCATTTGGGAACCTATAACTGTATTATTACAGGCCAATTCGGTCTTATTAATAGTGTCTAAAATAGCAGGTTTGCCCACAAATTCCTTGCTAGAATGTAGATGTTGTTCAAGGGCGTTCTGTACATCTGCACTGTACTGATTAGTGAAAGCTTCTTCATACTGATCAGTCCATAGTCTTATCCGATTTTCCCAGCCCTCAGTTGTATTCTCATCTAAATTCTGTGCTTCAGAGGGAGAATTCTGCAGAGAACAAAGGTCAGGTAGGTTAGTATAGTCCATGCATAAAAATGTACCAGGGTGAGTGGGGGTGGACAGGCTGAGTTTCAAAAAAAAAAAAAAAAAAATTCACTTGGTAGGTGGTGTGGCATAAAATAAAAATGGACTGGGAGTCAGAGGATCTGGCTTTTATCAAAGTCTTATTCACAATGAGTTGTGAGGTTTCCCCACTTAAAAAAATTAGTCTAAATCACAGTTGCAGGCCATCACTTATTTTATGACCATTTTTAACTCTCAAAAATTGCATTTATCTTATGAAAAGAATTACATCAAGTTCATAAGAAAATCTTTATAAAAAGGAACAGTACAGACACTGCAAACTATCAAAATGCTTAAATTTTGAATCTTATTGAACATTTATCTGTGCTAGTGTGATAGCCCAAACTGGTTTGTTTTATTATCTCCAGAAGAATGATTTTGTCTGTATGTCACTTAATGTTTTCATTATACAATTAAGAACTATTCATACTAAATATACTTGTGATCCCAATCAATCAATCACCATGCTACCACCCATAGAAAAAGTTATTTTGTAATATACCTTTCTAATACTCTAAACAATTTATATAGTCACATTCTAAATAGTCTGAAAAGGAGAAGTGAGAGGAGGGAAGTGGGTAGGGGGACTATAAAAAAAAAATGTCTTGAGAGGAAGGTACTTTCCCATAGTCCTCTAAGAAAATCATTGCTTTCTATGGTGACAGTACTAAGAAAAGATTATTACTTTTCAGCAACAGATCTTGAACTGTGTATATAAACCTGAACTATAGAGACACAGCTTAAGTATGAAACATGTTCTTGTCCATGGTGTTTAAGATTTGAGGTGCTGACAGAAAACAAACACACTGATAGTGATGATGCCATGCTAGTGGTGATTAGAAGGAAAAGATACTGTAGTGACTAAAGCTACATGAAAACCTATGTCCACACTAAACTTCCCAAAACAGGCATAACAAAATTAAATATACTTTCCATGCATGGTACAGAACACACTGATGTCTACTATAACAATTGCTTCCCTTGGCCACTTTTGTAACACTGCTGTTGACGGACTTTCCACAAGAAACAGGAAAATGTAAAAATAAGTCACAAAAACTCCATGGTTTTCTATAATTTTCACTAGGGTCCAAAAGATCAAACAATAAACAACTAAAAAAGAAACACCTAAAGCCAACACACTGTGAACAGAAGTATCACCTACTTGACATTTTAGTAGCAGCTGAGCAAGAATGATGGGAAACTTGACTTAAGGCTGCGTAAGATTGGGGATTAAGGATGCCCAGAAAGTATTTCCAGATTAAGCATTCAGTATCAATCACTAAACTTACAACTTGTAACTTACTGTATTTTGAAAGCCTCTGCTACAGTATTAACTGTTGTTCATTAAGCCGACTCTCTTAAGTAGTTCTTAACTGGGGCAATTTGCTCTCTGGAGACATTCAGCAACACTAAACACATTTTTGATTATTACGATTCTTTGTGTGCATGTCTGTTTGTTTTACTGCACCTACTAGGTAGATGCTGGGGTGCTGCTAAATGTCATACAATGTGAAAAATAGTCCCTTCTACAACACAGAATTACTTAATCTGAAAAGTCAACAGCATCAAACAGACACTAATTTAATGGCAAGTCTCCACTACGAAAGCTCTTGACTTTCAGATTAAAAACCCAAATGATAAAAATTTCCCCCTCCTACAGCATCTGTCCACCTGGATCTTTGATGAAGTCAATTAATTCTGAGCACAAAATTTGTAACTCAGAATTATAAGATAACAATCAAAACACCGGAACTGTTTTTCTGTTGAAATTTTAACTTGTCTTTGGAGATGTAAACCTCCTGAAACTGTTTTTTTGTAAATAAAATTTGGGACTTATATCTACTTTTCTGAGTGAGCCAGGCAACAGTTTTCAAAAGGTTTTAAGTCTCTGAAGGTGAATTACAGTAACTGGCTGACAAAGAGAAAAGAGCTCTGCAGCAGGGACTAGGGATATGTTTGCCCCAAGTATCTATTTAAGATCCCTTCTTAGTAAATGAAAAATGAGTTAAAACAAATTTGGCTCCTTTTAGGAGGTAAGTCTAAGCAAGCAAATAATGATTTTAAGTTGTATCTCAAACCACATTTCAGGTTTCTGACAGTCTGTGGCTAAGTCCTCTCCCATCTCTACAAGCTGAGGCCTTAGAACTTTAGATAAATGTCACCTGTAACTTTGTTTAAAATATTTTTTAATTGTAGATGGACACAATACCTTTATTTTATTTATTTTATTTTTAAAAAATATTTATTTTTTAGTATTAGGTGGACACAATATCTTTATTATACGTTTATGTGGTGCTGAGGTTCGAAGCCAGGGCCTCACACACGCCAGACAAGTGCACTACCACTGAGCCACAACCTCAGCCCTATCTGTAACTTTTGATATAACATCAATCATATTGTTTAATTTACACATGAATTAAAGTAATTCTAATGAAGCTTATCTTAGGACTTTAATATTTATGCTATATAACTGCCAATCGGAAAAATCCTGCTTTTATATAATACATACATCTAGGGATATGAATACTAATAGAATTAAACTAGAACTTGATTCTAACAAATCCTTTGAAGCCATATCGGATAGATAAAAGAAGATACTAGACAGTAAATAGATAGCAAACTTTTTGTCAACCAGTACTTAAAAGTCCTCTGAAACACTGTACATAATTTCTGTCCTCCAACCTTTTTATGAAATCACGTAAGTTCTTTTACTTGATAAATAAAGAAAAGCAACACTAGCATCACATGAGTCCTTTCCAAACAGATAAGCCAAGAAGAAGCAGTTCAACAGTAAGTCATTCCAACAGGATCAACTATCAACAATATAACTTTGCTGCTAATGACAAGTTATTCATCGAACTGGTGATTAAGCCTACTTGGTGCCAGGGTGGGAGCACAAGAAATCCTCTATCATTACCACAAAATCTCACTCCTGAAATTCAGTCCAAGCACAGTGACAAAATACACCAGCCTCATTTTGTTCGGCAAAATGTCACTTACCCCCCAGCAAAGCAGCTAATGAAAAACTAATAAATGAAGGCTAATTACAGAAAGAGAAAATATTTCAGAAAATGGCCAAGAAAATCTACTTTGGAGAAAAGCTCTATGAAAACTGAATGGCAACAATTACAAACTAATGAAAAGCAGACTCCAAGATTCCCAGACCATCGATGTCAGGAAAAGAAGCTGACCAAAATGCAAGATCACAGTGAAGTAAAACACAGCATCAGGGAAGATTACCCCTTACCTTCATCCGCAAGGACTTCCGGGATCCCTCTCGAAATGCCTATCCCAAAGAGGAAAACAAGTAGAACAAAACAAAACTTGGTACCAAGAATGACAGTTAAACCTATTTGAGACTAAAACTAAAGCACGAACTAGTGTTCTATTCTGCCCCCTTTTCTCTACCTAACAAATACCACAGAATTCCCAAAAGTATTTTCAAGAATAGGGGTATAGCTCACAGCCAATGAACTCTGAAACTAATTCTGATAATTTCTATTGTGGAGCTAGGAAACTAACAGGGAAGAACATGCACCATTTAAATCCTATATGCACCCCTGACACTAAGAGAAAAAGTCAATAAAAAAACCTTAAGTTGCAGATTTACCAGTTTTGAAATTAAGAAGGAAACAAAGACCAATCCCCTTAACAAGGGGTGAGCAAGTAACCTATGAGCAACAAAGTTGCTGTGATGGGGAAGAAAGCAAGCAAAACAGAAGAGATTTCTCCTGGAAGCTTTTTACTTGAGAATAGGAAAGTGACCACAACACTGAGGAAGACTAGACCATTCAAGAGATGTTTCCTGAATTTAGTTTTGTGTTTTTTTTTTTTTTTTTAAATGAGGAAAACCCATCAACCCAATGACATGAGGTGGGCATGTAAAAAGGACAAGAATTTCAGACTCCTTTGGGGCTGGAAGTCAGGGATATTATAAGGATAGTGGAAGCCTAGCTTCAAGGCTGCAATACGTATGGGCTTGTGCCAGGTAAGGCTGGAATTTCATACCTGGGATGGGTGTTGGTGTAGAACACGATTTGAGCCAGTGGTGATGGTATGATGTGGTAGAAGAGAGGTTGGTCTATATGTACATAACACAGATTATCTGATTTTTTGTAAGCTGAGCAAAAGTGGCCCTCTAACACTTAGATCAAATTACTTAAGAGTATTTTGGTGCATTTTTTGCTCCAAAATTTGAGCTACCTTGGAAATATTTCTATTTAGAATATTTTCACCACCCATACCTTGATTTTCTTCGTCTTTGGTGCTGCACGACCCTTTTCTGGACTCTTTTTCCGCTTCTTGGGTTTGGTTCTTCTAACAGTTAAGGTGATGCTTGTAGGTGTGTGCTGTGTTGCTGTATACAACACAGTGGAAGGAGAAAGCTCCTCATCCCAGCTTTCTGTTGCACTGCTATCCCCACCTGAAAAAAGATGATTTCACATTTCAGATACCACAAGCCTTAGAGGTGTACTAACAATAGTTTATTTCTTAGGTATGTACTCTATCATTTGTAAAGGAACATGAAAATAAGATCTTTTCCTTATGAAAATAAGATCCTCTCTATGTCACTGGCTTTAAGCATATACACTCTGTTCTATATTAAACCTATTTCTCCCTTTGAATAAAAAGGGAGATTGAATATAGTCTCCAAGCTCCATTGCCTCAATTGGTAATAATTTAAGATGGGACAATGGAAAAAAAAAAAAAAAGGAAAGAAAAAGACTTTTTTTGGGGGTGGGGGATGTTCACAGGAAATAACTCTGATCTCTATAGAACTTAATGTCGTTTCCATGATAGTATTATATAGTAGTTTTGAGAATACTTGTGCCTCTTTCCACAAAAAGAGCTGAGCACCACACAAATTACTGAGAGGATTACTGAGAGAACATTGAAATCACAGAATATTTACACATCAAACATGGGCACAACCCATCTTTTGCTCACCTGATATGTTGTCCTGCTTCCGCCGATGAAGTCTAATAACCTTCCCCCTGCTCATTCCCCTAAAGAGGGAAAATAAACTTAAAGTAGTCCTTCCAACAGCATGCAGCACATCATAGCACACATGGGAGAAGAGTCTCTGCATAGACTACCCCCTCCCTCCCACCTACCAAATGTTTCCAGGACATTAAATTTCATATCAAATTCAATAGCTTTAACATCAATCTCTCATTCCTTGTTGTCAGCAATTCTCACCTAGTGCAGAGAATTCGAGCCAAGGAGCACTAAGGAATCATCTACATTAACAAACACAAGAAAGAATACTTTGAGCTTTTCCCTACTAATAAGAAACCCTAATCCCAGCAACCCAGGCTTGAATTTAGATGGAACAGGATCTTACCTGCACTTGTCACAGTTGAGAAGGAAGCCATCCTGAGAAAGACCACAAGGACACCAGGTAGGAACAGTCTCTCCTTCAGAGTTCGGGCTGTCTCCACAGCGTTCCTCTACGGGCGACGGCAGGCCATTCAGGTCAGAACGAGGGATGATCGTCTGGACAGGGGGAGAAGCAGGAGGTGTCGGAGGAGGAGGGGCTCCGTAATTATGATCCTGAAAATAAGATTTTTTAAATCAACAGTGTCCAAACACTGGCCCCTCTCTCCCCTAAAGTATGGTACATATGGAAAGAAAGAAGAAAGTAGTACCCTTCGTTTTTTGGCTTCAACCAGGAAAGTGATAAAACAAAATGCCAAGGTCAACTGGGACATAAAAACAAGAACAATGATGCAGGGCTAGACGTCCGCTGGAGGCAGGGAAGTGCAAAAGGGGCAACTTCGTCATGCTGCATATAAACATTTCAAGAAAGTCACAATGTGTAAGAATGGATTACACTCCAGGAAGATCACTGCTCTGGAGAGAAACAAATGCATACTCACAGCATAAGGCAGTCCTCGACACCCATGCCTCTGAGTGGTCCCATAATTATGAGTGGAATACACGCTCTTCTCATTAACTGCTGGACTAGCCTCCACAGATTCAGGGCTGCACAAAGGCGAAAAGCAATGCATGATAGCATAACACCTAATCTTCCCTTAAACTAATAGTTAACTTCCCATTCTAACCCCTCCTCTTTCCACAACCACCAGCCACTAGAATAAGAGAGAGAACTCAGTGAAACAATTTGATTAACATAACTAAGCCTATAAATAACAGTAGGAGTGTTACTGAATGTGAATTTGTGTGTAACATGAAGCCAGTATAGGCAGATGTCTCAAGGTAGGCACCTGGGATACAAGGTGTCCCTAATGACAAACACAAACGTACCAGCTGAGCGGGGAGTTTCCCCTAGAGAAGCCACTCTGGGCTGGTTTAGACTCAGAACTATTCTTCTTAATTGGATCTCTTAATACTTCCATGAAACCTCACATGACATTTGCAGTGAGTGAGATGATGAAAGTGCCTTCTGCACTGCCCCAGGGACCAGGCCCTCTTCCATTCACTACCAAGACAGGATACCCTGAAGAAAGTACAGGTAAAAACAATGGCATCTTATATTTATCACACCTCTCATCTTGAAGAACCCCCAAACACCTTTCACATATCTCATTCACCAATGACATGCAAGCATATAAAGAACACAATTATTTAACAGCTGCATGGCAATACCCTAGGACTTCAAAATAATTAAATCTAAACTCATAAGTTACATTAGACCGGTGACAAATAATAACAGTTGTATAAACTATTTTGTAATTTGCCTAACATTTGCCTTATACTTGTTGATTCCTTTTAAATTCTGCAACCACTAAATTGGTGAACAGCACCCCGTTTTTGTAGAAGAGGAAGTTGAGAAGGTTAGAGTAACATGGCTTCCCCAAGATCATATGTTGACAGAGCTAGGACTGAAAACAGTGCCTGACTCCAAAACCTACACCCTCTCTATTATGTCTTTTTGGAAACAAGGATAACATTTTACCTTTAAAGAAATTATTTGAGACCTTTATTAACCAGGTTTAGTGAGAAACCTGGTTTAGGATCTTTCTGATTGAGTGAAAAATAAACGATTCAAGCACAATTTGTTATTATTATTGAATTTTGAATGTATTCAAATTTAGAAATTTAGTGTAAGCCTTTACTTGATAATAAAAAGGCACAGGTAGCCAAGGATAAAATAATATTTGTGGGAAAAAAAACAAACACCTCAGTTTTAACTTGTTACCTGGTAAGATTTGGGGGAAATTGGAATAATTATGGAACATAGTTGTATTACTCAGCAGAGATGAAAATGGATAATCTATAATTTATATTAATTAGGACAGAGATTCACAAGACAGACACTCCAAGGACTAGAATAACTCAACCTCAGAGATCAATTGGACTTTTAGGGAATAAAATAATGTGTAACGTTTGCTTCAAATAATAGACATTTTTCCTGCCTCAGGATATACAATACATAATACTTGGCAGGAAAAAAGAAGTATGCAGTCCAACTTGGCACATCAGTTGAGAAGTGAGGGATAAAAGAAAATTCTGAGATATGTATCCAACTCACCCAGTTTTATGCTCCAAAACTGTGAGAAGGGATCTTATTAATAACAGCAAAGGTAATTTCTAGATGAAGAAGAACTTTAGACATAGGAAAGTATTCTCTGTTAGTGAACTGCATGCATTTTATTATTTAACAGTGTCTGCAAGATGGGAACTGGGGGCAGGGTGTGGTACATCAAGAATGCAGGTCAGTATTCTTGAGAAAAAGATGATCTGAACATGGCTTACTGAGAGGCAATCAGCTCTGAGTATTAGGAAACAGGTGGGGTTTCCTAAATGAAACCAAAGGCAGACAAGCATTAATAAAATGAAGATAGAATTTAGTTCTAAGATGGACAGTTAAAAGAGAGTAATGAATTTATACATAGTAAATTTACTAGGTACATTACTTGACAAACAAATATTCCATAGAGTTGTACATATTTCATATAGGAGATTTTGTACTATTAAACACATGGGTGAAAAATGACAGCTGTTCATTAGAAATGGATTTTTTTGGGGGGGGACAGGAAAAACGAAAGTTGCATGAAATAAAAGATGGCCATGGAGATGGAGCTATGTTGGTTATATCTTACCCATCTCCAAACTGGGTAAATATGAACATATGCACTTCACGTGCAAGTCTAGGGAATAAAAATAAAATGTATATTGTGGAGGTTAACAGGCCATCCTACCACACAACACTTTCTAGTCAAGCATAGCATTTAATATATTGCCATGCATATCAAATCTAAAATTTAAACTCATTTCATATGATGAAGAAACTGCATTTTCCATACTGGTTAATGCTTAAATACAGAGTGAGATGTTAATGGGTAACTGTAGGACTGTCTAGAACATTCCCTAACATATACATCAGTTCTTAACTGTATTTTAAAATATAGATTAAAAGTTTGGATTATTAGGATTGCATCTCTTTTATTGGCCAACCAATTCATGCAAACATAACTGCAGCCTTTCTTTTTCAGTAAGTGATTTGTTTTAACAGTAGGGCACATACATAGAAACCAAGCTAACAACAGATATACTCCATTAATAGTACTCAAAGTATAATATGCAACCTGTCACTATTAGGCCACCTCTTAGAAAATGACTGAAATTCTGTTTGGGAAGAACTGGAAATTAAAAAAAAAAAAAACCTTTGTATCTTTTGTTACATCTATAAGTTCTCCTATACATATTCAAAAACAAAGCAAAACAAAACAACAACAACTCCCGCCCCAACGTATTGCATATTGCTGCCATTAAATTTAAAACTTATGAGGTGAGGTCTAGTCTTTAACTCTGGTACTATGTTGCACTTAATACCAGATTTAATCCTAGAGAGTGTATAGAACAGTGGGATAGACATGGTGAAACACTAACAAGTGTTATTAAAACTGAGCAGAATAATTAAAAAGGTAATTATTGATGTACTCTTCCTTTGTAAACCTATAAAAGGGGTAGGTATGACATCAATTCTGACCATAGTATCAGAAACCTGTCTGAAGATTATGGATGAAAATGTTCAGAAAATCTTAGTACATGACACTGCATTCAAATATATAGACCAGAAGATTTTTCTTTTCTGCAATCACTCTGGATTCCCCAGCAACATTTGTAGGCAGTTATCTTTTTACTCTGGGGAAAATATCAGTTGTAAGAATAACTGCTTTGCATCTTTTCCTTATCTACTAACTCTAAACTTACTGTTTAGCCTTTTTGTTGAAATTTCTCACAAATGTCAATGCTGTCTACTTATACAGTCTGTTATATTGTAGCAGGTTAGTAGCTGACTTCATGAAAAACTACAAACACTATATACAACTGAGCTATCTACTAATGCAGACAGGGCCTTATTTGGGGAAATAATTATAAAATTGAAAGTCTCAGATAATGGAATAACTAATCTCTTTGGCATGCAAACAACAACAACAACAACAACCACCACCACCAAAACCAAAAGAAAACAAAAATTTAAAAAAGCTCTAGAAGGAACACAACCCACTCTTTCCCGTCCCCCACCCTCCTTCATCCTTTTTATATGGGAATAGACTTGAAATTTGCTTTCAATTCCAGACTACCCCAGATTATTATATACTACTTCTTAGGGTAGCTTTATTTTAAATCTTCCTCTCCCTCCCACCCCCCACCCTGGAGCTGGGGATTGAACCCCAGGGTCTTGTGCATGCTAGGCAAGCACACTCTTCCACTGAGCCACATCCCCAGCCCTTAACTCTTCCTTGTTAAGGAACTCAGTAAATGGACAAGTTAACAATAAGTGGCTTTGAAGAAATATACATGCTCTTTAATAATATTCTCAGTTTTTAAGGAAGAAAACCACTATTAATGAGGGATGCCATTTAACCCAAAATTCTGGTACAGTTGCTTTGCTGAAAGGGGAAGAATCCCCAGGAACTGTGAAAATGGCAAGAGAAACAGGGGAATTAGAGCAACACCCACCTCACTCAAGAAGTGGCTGTGGGATCAAGAGTCTGAACTGGACCTGAACATATTCAAAACACCAGGATTTTTCCAGCCCAGACCCTAATCCCTGGTACTGCCTGGAATAGACTTGGCTTCTGGGGGTGTGCTGCCCCCTAGGCCCCTTGGGTCTCTTTCGCTGGACTTTCACATCCTGGTGTAGTGCCACTTCGTCTTGAAAGGTAGGGGGCTTCCACTTCCTTTCTGTAAGCAAGGAAGATTGGGTACAAGGGAGGTAAAAGGACAAGAGGGGAATCTGTGAGCAGGGGGAATCTTGGACAACTTAAAAGAGAAGGGATACAAAAGACTAAAATTTTTAAAACTGTGATATAAAGTTGTATAATGAAGGCCTACCTTCATTGTCATTTGGCATTTAAATTCTTCAAGAACTGAGAGTCTATTTTAGGGATTGGGCTTTTCGACAAACTCTGAATTCCTAAAGCTGCTCTTAGCTGAAAAAAAAGTTTGGTACCACTGATTTTGAAGGTCCTCTTTCTAGGCAATGAATATTATTTAAAAAAAAAAAAAACAAAAAAACACCCAGATGATACTGCTTTCCATATTTTCTACCCCAAAATCAGAAGGTCTAAGCAACATGCCCACATAGTTTCAGCCCCTTTACTCTAGAACAATGAGAAGTACATAGGAAGAGGCCTTCAAAGGAAATCAGTTGGAAAGAACACCTCCTATCTCCTTCCATCAGAATAATCATTAACTCTATGGAAGCAGGTAGTGACACCTACTTTATTTCAATCTTCCCCACCCATCAAAACAAAGAAAATGCAATCACTACTTTGCAACTTTGATTCTATTAATTATTCACCCCCAAATCCTTCCCTAAAAGCTCCTTTCCTCCCCCTTCTAATTCCTTTTTCCTCCAGCTTCTAGGGGAGAAAAGGGCAAGGTCTAATGTCATTTATAGTGGGATACACTTTGGTTAAGAAAATAATACATAGATCTTATTAACTACCATAAGAAAACTGTCTCCATACAAACTGGTAGTGTACCTATTATCTAGGAAGTAGCACTTACTCTGATCCAGCAGCCATATCTGAGTAGGATGTATCTGGTGTGGTGACTCCCAGAGGGATTGCAATGCTCATGACGTCAAACACAGCAGAAAATGGAAATCAAGGGATCCAATTAATGGAGACTGACCACTCTGAGAGTGGGGGTGAGCTCCAGAGCCTCAGCCAACATGTTATGGACATGAGGAATCCTGCCACAGGAAAGAAAAATATCTTGTAACTAGGTAGTTCATTAAATTTACCCTAAATGCTATTAAACATTTTTATATTGTTTTGATAAGGCCCCCAGCAGTGCAGGATCTAACAAATAAGTTTTAAGAAATAGGATGGTTATTACAAATGCGCTAGTTTAAATAAAATAAACTCTATAAAAAATTCAAGGTCTTCACTTAAACTGTGCGCCACAAATAAACAAAGTTTTACAGATAGAAAAGATCAACTTGTTTGTATTTGATTGGATACAGTTGTTTCTTCCTGCATTCTTTTGTCACAGAACACTTTCTTCCTTCTTTCAAATCATTTTTATTCTAACTGTAATTTGGGAGGAAGATACAATTATCTTAAGGACTGTATTTGGAAGATAATATACACTGCTAGATATAAATAAAAACATAAACCATGGGGAAGGCTATGCATGTATGAATGCAGAGAATAAATGGGAAATCTATATACTTTTGGTTCAGTTTTGCTGAGAACTTAAAATTGTTGAAAAGAGAGTGTGTGTATGTGTGTATATATATCTTCTGTCCATCTCTCAAGGGGCAGCACAAAAAAACTATAACTACAAATAATATTGTTTCATGACAGAGATTAGAAAATTGTGTATGAAAAAGGACTGAAGGCTTGGTGACCACAAACCAGTGGAATTTGGGAGGAGAAAGATTTTCAAACTTCTGAAGAGAAAAAAGGGAAAAAAAGTATAGTAAGAGATTTGGAAGTATGGTACAAAAGGGGAAATTTGTACTATTTTACATTAGTGGCTTTATATCAATGTATAAAACAATTAAAAGGACAAAACCACAGAAGCATTTTATGGAGGAAAGTCAATGTGAATGTAGAAGATCAAGGTTAACAAGGATTTTTATAAAAAAGACTACATATCGATTCATGACAAATAAGAAGAAAAGCTAAACAATTATTAATACCCCCAAAAACACAGGAATAAAAAGTACATGACTCTGAATGAATCCAGGGGGTTAACTCAGATTTTCAATGGTAAGTTGATCTGAGATGTCTAAATCTTATTTTGATTGACCTGAATACAAAATCTGACTATGAATGAGGTAAAGATTTTTCAGAACACATGAAGATAACGTTACTTTTGAGCCATTAGTTTAGAATGCTAGAATAGTTAGCTACAAACCAAGAAGTTTTCCCTGGCCCATAGGATATCAAAAAGCTGGCTCTCACCAATGAATCCATGCCTCCCCAGGTGTTGCAATATACATGTACCCAACTGGAGATAACAATGCTAGATTGGGAATTGAAATGCAAAGGAGGTCAAGTTTTTCTATCTATTGTTTCCTATGGTTCACAATAGAAAAGTTACTTATTTACTTTTTGCCTTTGGGCCAGGCTTACACATCTAAACAGATTATGGCTGCATATCCTCTAAGCCACTGGGAAACTGAAATGAAATCTGCAATGTCAAAACAGAGACCACTTACCAAAAGGGCACAGTTTGGTTATAATTCTAAAAAGAAAAAAAAAAAAGCAAGGCCCAAAATTGCCTTACCACATAACCAGAATAGAGTCTAATAATGATCGCACCACCCCCCTTGACCACTAAAAGGAATCTGAATCGTGTTATATTTTCTGAAAAGGACATTAAAAAAAGGGAGGGGTTACTCAACACGACTTGGGGGGGGGGGACCCTCTGGCATAGTCATTATTATCGTATGCCTATAAAAAAAAGGGGGGGGACAATTTATAAACCTAGACAGAGGTTTTTTTCTGACATTAATTTTAAAGAGACATACTAAAAGAAAGAGTTAATTCACCTAATATTTCCTCCAGGAATAAATAATGATTTCTACATTCCCTAAAGAAATCCTAACACAGTGATTAAAAAAAAAAAAAATACACACACACACACACACACACACACAGTTGTAGTTGGACACAATACCTTTGTTTTATTTATTTATTAGCACGAGCTATGCAAGTGATCTACCACTAAGTCATAACCCCAGCCCCAACACAGTGACTTCTGATAGGTGATAAGTAACTTTAAAAAACATTAAGTGGGGCTGGGATTGTGGTTCAGCGGTAGAACCTATCACATGCAAGGCCCTGGGTTCGATCCTCAGCACCACATAAAAATAAAATAAAGATATTATGTCCAACTACAACTAAAAAATAAATATATAAAAAAAAACATTAAGTGAATTTCTTTCATTTTCCTTTTGTCTAGTTTTATATGATCCTTCCTCCACTAGCTTGACCAACTCATTCCAAATAATGCTTTCATAATAACAAGGCTTAATTCAAATTCTGATAACTACTTCAAATTTCTCTTATGTAACAATGAAAATAGCTGGGCATGGGGGGCCATGCCTGTAATCCCAGCAGCTCAAGAGGCTGAGGCAGGAGGATCATGAGTTCAAAGCCAGCTTGAGCAAAAATCAAAGCACTTAAGCAACTCAGTGAGACCTTGTCTCTAAATAAAACACAAAGCAGGGTTGGGCTTAGTGGTAGAGTGCCCCTGAGTTCAATCTCTAGTACCAAAAAAAAAAAAAAAAAGAAGAAAGAAACAAAAAGAAACCAAACTAAACCGAACCAAAACAAAAAAAACTACTGAAAATAGTTCCTTCTCTATTTAATTAGGTAAAATGCAGGTATTAAAATACTCACTGAAGAGGCTACCGAAGTAGCAGCTCAGTGGTAGAGTGCTTGCTTAGAATGTGTGAGACACTGGGTTCGATCCTCAGCACCACATACAAATAAATAAATAAATAAATAAAGGCACTGTGCCCATCTACCACTAAAAATAATAATAACAATGATAAAAAGCTCACTGAAGGCCTTCTAAAAGATGATCTAGATGCAATAATACTCTAGTTTTTATATACCAATACAACTGACTCCTGCTGTAGTTTATCAAGCTCAGCAGTCATAGCAATTATTAATCTATAAACATATAATTTAGAGATGTGTACTGGAGAGAGCGGTTAAAAATTAACTGTCTCTAGGTGGAACAATTTCAAGATACGTTTTACTTGTTACTCTGTCTCTTACTACCAGAACATAAACTGTGTGGATAAGAATTTTTGTCTATTTCATCAGACCGTATTTCCAATTGCCAAAACCCAACTGACATATAAAGAAGGTTCAAGAGATATTTCATGAGCAAATTAAAAACACCATTATTGTATCATGATGTCGGCATTCATTACATGCAAGAAATAAAACAAATTAATAATTTGGGTCAGTCACCTTTATATAGACCTCTGAATATGAAGTCCCCCCAAATTATCTGCCAGTAGCTCTGAAGACCTAGAAAAAGTTGAGACACAAATTAGCATAGGAAGAAATAACACGAATGAACAGAGAATGGAATTCTACAGACATATTAATGATAATTTTGTTTCATTTCTGTATAACATTTCCTCTGGTTTTGTTTACCATCCATTTTATCCAATAATACATTTTTTTGTCCTTTAACCTGCATAACCCATTTTCCTGTAAAACCAGACACTAAATAAAGGGCGGTGAAGGAAATTAACTGTATTTAAGCAGTGATAAACACTTAATATGTCATTAGCTAATCTTTCTGTTTCCTTCAAATTAGAATTCTCTCCCATTTCCCAAGGGATTGTCTCTCTCCTCTGCTGACCCAGTCCACTCAAGAAGCTTTTTTAAAAAAAAAAACTGTCAAATTTACTCTCCAGCCAGATGAGAGACTAAAAACACCTATTAAGTTTTTTGGGGGGCAGGGGTAGGGTGGGGAGAGAAGTACTGGGGATTGAACTCAGGGTACTTGACCACTGAGCCCCAGCCCCAGCCCTATTTTGTATTTTATTTAGAGACAGGATCTCACTCAGTTGCTTAGCACCTTGCTGTTGGCTGAGGCTGGTTTTGAACTCATGATCATCCTGCCTCAGCCTCCTGGCATTACAAGTGTGTGCCACTGTGCGCGGCCACCTATTAAGTTTTAAGTTCATATTATCCTTTACTTTCCTCTCATTCCATTCCATCTATCCTACAGAAAAGAGTGACAAAAGGGAGTCAGTTGTATGTGTAAAGAATGCCATGATGGAAACATGCTGAAAAATGGAGCTTTAATTAATATTCCCAAAGGGAAGGAAAATAGATGAGCCAGATTTTGGGGGTGGGGGGCCGGCGGCGACAAAGATCAGTATTCCTTAAAATTTCAGTGTTTTCTCCAAAACATAAAGTTTAACATTAGCCAGAATGAGTTATTAAAACCTGAAATACTAATTATCATAAACATGAAAAAAGCTTTCACTGTACTCCAGTTACCAAGCAATAGAGCAATTTACTTTATTTATGTTGATATTTTATGGATTTGATTTTTTTAAATAAATCATTCTTTTAAGAGCATACTCAGGAAGAAGTAGACTCCTTTAGCAATAGTAAACAAGAGAAAGGACAAGAGGGGAAAGAGAAATGATTGTATAGTAGCAGAAAAATTAATGCATCAGAATTTCAATTTCTTATCTGTTAATTAATAATTAGTGCAAAAACACTAATAAGTTCTTGGATTCATAAACAGAACTAGCCTGTCCTAGTAATGACTACTGTTTTAAGTAGTTACCATCTACATGCAGCTTCTAGGGAAGAGAATGTTAAATAGAACATGCCAGAAGTGGTTGATAATTACCCTGTCTTTTTAATTGGGTTCAGAAATGACCAGTAATTTCCTTATTATCATGGTAGTCTCTTTTCTATAAGATTTGCTGAAAGCCCAAGACCAATACAATCTGTCTGGTCACCTTCACAGAAGACAAACAAAAGTGTTTTAACAACAATTCCAACAGAGATTTCAGAAGAAAAATTGCATCAGACAGGTGAGCCGGAAGCAGCTGGGAGACAAGAGTCCAATAAACAGCCAATCCAATGAAAGAAATT